GTTTTTACAACTGATGGTGACAAATCTTACGATTTTGTTTATCAGATATTCTTTCACCATTGGTACAGCCTAGTTACTGGCTTTGATGGATTAGTAGAAGTCCTTAAAAGTGCAAAATTCCAAGATCTTAAGATTATCTTCATCGCGGACGTCGTTCATATAGGCAAAAACCTCAGAACGTTATTAATTTTCCCCAATAAGTTAATCTTTTTGCAACCTTATGATCCAACGCTGCACGTCGATATTACAAAAATTAGATTATTTTCCAAACTTGGAGATGCAATTAACAACTGTGATAAGTCTACCACACTCAATGACAAATATCCTGTAACAATCTTTAACGTTCAAACCGTCAAGGATATGCTAGATAATAATTGCTACACTGAAGCAACTTGGCTCCTTCCACTTGCACTTTGGTTTGAGGGAGTCCGAAATACCATATTACCAGTTGAAGCAAGATTGTCAATGTTCAAACTTGCTTTTTTCATCTTGCATTTCTTTCTCAGATTGCAAGATGTGGTCGGAGTCACTGATAGACTTCCTAATATAGAGACACCAGATCATCGTCTCAAATTCAAAGGTTATCTTTTTGCCAGAAGAATGCATCTTCTGAAAATGGCGACATCTCTTCTCACTCTTTATGGATTTTTAGAGGAATTCCCGAATATAAATTTTCAACATCTCACAACCCTTCCGGTTGAACATTTATTTGCCTTATTCCGAAAATTTGCGCATTCAAAAAAAGAAGTTAAAGATTTGATGAGTGCGGGAGCGCATTTGGTAATGAACCAAACCTACCGTGAACAAAATTTTGATCGTCTTGTGTCAGAATGCAGACTTGATAATTCAGGAGCAAATATGGCAAATGTCGAGGAGATGCCAGAAGATATTAAGTCCCAATATATATTCACAGATGAAGATATTGCCAGTATTACGACCGATCTTATGTATTTAGTTGGTTGGCACGAAGATCAGGTATTTTCAGTTTGGGGAAGATTAATAAAATACAATCACACACAACCATTAAGTGTTTTTGAACCTTACAGCAAAGATTTTCCGCGTAATGGAGTGGAAATTTTAAGACAAAAACTGGATCAAATTATTGAAATAAAAGCTCCAGTTCCTTTTTCAGAAAATAGGGGCTATTGCCCATCTCAAGCATACGAAACACAGTTACAAAAAGTGCCGATGGCCAAAACACCTCTTTATGAGAATTTCAATGACATACTACAATTCGCAAACTCAAATTCCTCTTCTTCTACAGAAAACTCTACAACTACAGATTCTACATCTCAAGGAATTCAATCTCAAAATTCAAATTTTCCAAATGAAAATTTGGAAAATTCCCAAAATGCAGAATCAACTGATGATTTTCAATCATTAATAACGCCAATACAAGAAGATCATTTTCCTTCTGCCAACGAACTAAAACAAGGGTTTGATATTGCCCATGATGTTTTAATTAGTCCGCCACCTGAGAATCAACATCCAGAAATTGATGAAGAAGAGACACAAAAAGCAATTTATCTATTACAAAACTTAGACTTTCCTAAGAAATAAAATTATTTAATTTATTCTTGTTTGTTTTTTAATTAAACATGTATATTTATTAACATTTCCTTTTTTAATACCTTTCCAACTTCTATTAGTAACAAACACATAACTAATTTGAAGATTTAGCGTTATGAAGAAGTATCCAAGTAATAACGTCAATAATGCATTTGCGATAGGATATAATTGCACCAAAGGTTAAAACTTGTATAAAGAATGAAAAATGAAATTTAATATAATTTTTTTTCGAAAAAAATCCATGCTTGGCTAGATTTTCATAGTTATTGAATATGCATTACTGACATCTTGTAAAAGATGCCGATCAAGGCTTTCAAGATTGCTAAATTTCTCGATTAAAATTTACATTTTTTTTTATTTGTGTTTAATTACATTTTACAGTTTGCAGACTTACATAAAATCCGCAACATAGTGGTTATTTAATATTTGCCCCACAGTATTGTAGTTTGAAATTTACGATAAGATTATAATTGATAAAGTAAGGTTTTGTCATTAATGCATCTTATAAACTTTCATTGATAAATATGGATAGATAAGTTCTGTGTTCAAAAGTAAGCATTTTTTTAAAACGCGCAATTATATCAAGAACGACTATCATAAATTCATGAGTATCGATGATTTTCGTTTAGGATGGACTTAATCGGCTTGATTGATATACATATTTTAAAATGGCATAGCTTTGTGCATGTTATGTCAAGCATTGTGCCAAACCAATTTAAAATGAAACAAATTATTTTAAAGAAACTATATATGAACTATTCGAACACTTTATATTAATGTAGGGAGCTATAAATTTAAATATTCTAAAAATTTATTTATTTGTTAAGAGTTCGGAACAAATTTATTATTGAATATATAGGAAATCAAATAATTATGCATAATCGCATAAAAAAATGCTGAAACAATGAAAAGAAAAAAATAGTTGCCCAATAGAAAAAGTCGAACCCATACCCCTACCCATTGAGTTATCCTCACTTTCAAGTTTCGATCGAAAAAAAGGTATTTAATCGCGTAACTCGCACCGTTTAGTCGTATTTCGAAGTTCTATATAGTATTAAAGATTAAGTTACATTATGTACAAAATAACTTTTTATTGTTATTTGATTTTGATAGCATTATTAGCTGAATATGAAAAATCTCGTAGAAATAATCATTTCATTCAGACATAAGTATTGGATTGTTTCCCAACAAGCATAATAACACACGTTTCATATTATAATTTATTTCATTTCTGTACAAAATTTAGATAACGATATCAAATAAAAAAAACTGTGGCATTTTTTTACTTCAAACTATCATGAAGTGTAACCAAATTGGGTGAGTATTCTTGCTATCAGTATGACATGAAAAAGTGAACGACAAAAATTGAAGATATTGTAGTTAACTCGGATTTTTTTAATTGCAAACACATCTATAATTTGTTTAAATATCATTTATTATATCAAAATCGAAAAATTCGTTTTTGGAAATCTTTGAATTTATGAGAAGTTCTACAAAGACACTTACAAATATAGCGTTTGCAATAAAAAGGCTCTTTAATCTTCTTCATCCTTGCTCAGAAACTTCTACTGGTTACCTTACGGGTAACCTGCAAAGCTGCTTCCAAGGCATCGGGAAAATAACGTATTTTCGTGAGACTACCTTTGTTATTGTAAAAAAATTTTTCTCATGGACAACTTCATGTGAGTATTTCTCTATATTATTGCACTAACTCGTCTTAAAATCGGAGAGAAACTAAAGTATTCTTTATGTCAAATTATATAATGCAGTGTATTCATATTTTTTCTCTAAATAATGTTTGAAATAATTGCAATTTAAAATCGATATCATTCGTTTTTAGCCAGACTATGTCCACTAGCCATATTTTTCAAGGCATCCCGCCTTATGAAAGAAATTACATACCTTTAATTATAGAAATTTGCTCCAATGCTTTGAACTATAGTTTTCCTTAATCATTGCTCCAAACATACTCTCCTATTGCTGTATATTATGCAAGTTAATATTCATGAAAATCAGCAATACACTTTTCACGAAAAAGTCATTTTATTAATAAGGCCCTCCAGTTCGGAGACTCACCTCTGATTAATCTTCAAGTAATACAAATACTCCAAAGTTTGTACTGAATCAGTGAAATGTCACATATAAATACAGACTGTTATACAAAATGAATCCATTTTTCATAATATTCACTTTCCAAGTTGATACTCCCAAATAGAAACGAGAGAAGAATACTAACTTAGAATAAACAATATACTTTCTAAATTTTATTAATTTAAATCAATATTTTCGACAAGATTTCACACATTGCTAATATAGAAATTGAATCAAAAAAATTTCGACAATATTTCAGACATTACTAGGAACATTCTGATATTATTGTCTTGAAATCTGGAAAAAAAAATTAATAAAATTTATCAACCCAAAATAATCAAATTTTACATAGGTAAAATTGTATAAATTAGCACCTACTATAATTATAGGTAAAATTGATAATTCCAAATTTTTTATATTTTTCAAATTTTAATGTGAAATTAATATTTCTTCTTTTCATTTTTAAAATTTTGAATTTTTTTTGGAATTTTCATATGAGAATTGAGACATATCATTGTGATATTCTTAATCTCATATATGAGGATATGTAATTTTTTTCACAGACAATTATATTGCATTATTTTTTTGCCAATTTTCAATTTTATCCTAAGTCTTGGAACATTATTAACAACCAACATACAGAAACATAAACATGTGTACTTAAAATAGATCAACACACAGGGTTAAGACATACTATTGCCTAGTCTTCAAAAATTAGGATGCCATTCGGATTTATTCACATGGCTAGAACTTATATTTTGCTACTGAAAAGCTTGATATCATATATTTGTTAACTCAAAGACAAAATTATGAAAAAAAAAAATTAAAAAAAAAGAGAATGTTGATTGTGAATAATTTAATTTGTTGCTATAGAAAGTATATAAAAATTGAACAAATCACTTTAGTCATACAGTGAATCGGAAGCGAAATGTCTTTGACTTGAAGATTTCATATCAGGAGTTGAGCAAAGTAAGTATTATCTCAGTGTTGGAAACTTTGAATTATTGTAACTTTCATGAATCATCCATTCAATCGAAGAAGCCTGTGGAAGCTACTTTTGATCTGTTTTTTAGGGATAATTTTTCATTTGATTTTTTCTGTTAGAAAAGACGATAAAAACAGCTTTAGCCTTTGGAATGGTTCGAAAATATTTTACATGGATCTTGATTTGACTTTGATTTTAACAATTGAATTTTTTTTTTCAACTGCAATGGATTCCCTCAAAAGTTGATATATAAAGTGAATAAAAACCATACAAGATTTTGCAATTAAAAAATCGCTGTTTTATTGCATCCTCTGAAAAGTAAAAGTCCCTATAGAAAAAGTGGAATTCTGCTTTAATGCTGAATTGGATTCGCGGTAAAGTTTCTCTGAACAAGAAGAGGTTCCAAGAAGAGGATTATGATCTTGATTTATCATATATTGGTGATAGAATTATCGCAATGGGTTTTCCTGCCCAAGGATTCGAAGCTCTTTATAGAAACGATTTCGAAGATGTAAGAAACTTCCTTGATGAAAAACATGGTGACAAATATTGGGTATATAACTTATGTTCCGAAAGATCTTATAACTGCTCTGTTTTCAATAATAGAGTCTCTAATTATCCTTTTGATGACCATAACCCGCCACATTTCGACATGATCAGACAATTCTGTGTTCATGCCCAGCAGTGGATTGAAAAAGATCCACAGAATATCGCTGTGGTCCATTGCAAGGCCGGAAAGGGTAGGACAGGAGTTATGATCTGCGCTCTTCTTATCCATCTCCATTACTTTAACACAGCTGCAGAATCCCTTTCTTTTTATGGCAGAAACAGAACCTTTGATGAAAAAGGTGTTACCATCCCATCCCAAAGAAGATATGTCCTTTACTATGCAAAATACTTACAAATGGGTGTACCATTAGACCAGCCGTTTGTTTCTCAGCCTTGCGCAATTACAAAGATTATCATTAAAAACCCACCAAGCAGCTGCTTCTCCAAGAAACTCTCGATCAAGTTCACTACCATGCCAGGTGATCCCGAAATCAAGATCGAAACTCGTGGTAAGAATAATGAGCCAATAAAGAATGATGAAGAAAAAACACTTGAATTCGACGTGGACGGTATTCTCCCAATGTACGCAGGAGATTTCAGAATTGCTTGCGTAAAGGGAGGCAAAAACGTCTGGTACATGTGGTTTAATTCTGAATTTATCTTACCAATGGAAGAATTCTCAAAGGCCGATGTTGATAAAATCACCAAGGATAAGAGCGTTTCGGCAGACTTCAGGATGATTGTTTATTCAAAGCATTAAGGCATTTCATATTCGGAAAAATGTGCGCTATATATTTATAATATTGTAATATTAAACTTATTTCAGGTTTTCGTTATTTACTTTATTTCATTTACTTGTCGTAAAGAAAATTACCGACTGAACATAAAAGAATATTATTAAAAAATAAAATATATGAAGATAATGTAATCGAACAAACTGATGAAAGAGATTATCTAATTTTGTTGCGTTCGCTAAGTTGATCGTCGATCAAAGGAAATCATTGTATCTTTGAAGGCGGCCAATCATCGATTTGAACTCTGCGTTATGAGATTTATAGAATTAGTTTCTCTTTTCATTCAAGGCCTATGCGCAAAACTCAATCAATTCGAATGAAAAAACAATTTTTCAATTTCAACAATAGACTTAAGTAATATTTGATTTCACACATACAATTATTTTTTAAATTAGTGAAAATTAAGCATTTCTTGAAAAAAAGCTGTTTTTCTATTATGTTGAGAAGAATCTTGTTATCTTATGGTACTATAGTATGGATGAATGCTAAGAGAATGAATATCTTGGTTCAGATATTCCCATAGATTAGGAAATTCATTAGGTATCATGCTTCTTTGTTGAGTTTCAAAAGTAATTCAAATTTACTAACGTCTTTCGATTTTTTTTACACTATGCTTTCTAAAGGTCAACTTTATATCAATAACAGAGAAAATGAATTAGAGATTAATAGACTTAAGTTTGAAATAGAAGATGCTATAAGTCGCCGCGATTATGCTACTGCAGCTTCTCTCCAAAAAGATTTAGATAACAGAGTAGAGCGTAGAAGAAGAATGCTTGCAGGACAAAAGCATGATAATACTGTGTCAGAGTTAATGGCGCTCAAAGAACAGCAAAGACAAGAAGAATTCCAACTCCGAGAATCAATGAGAGCAAAAGCAAGAAAAATCTTAACAGAAGCAAGTCAGCGGTTAGAAGAAATCGAAAAAGAGCATACTCAACAATATGCAAAACTTGATCGCAAATTTAGTGATCAAACTTTCGTTCAACTACGTAGAAATCCGGATTTAACTATTGCTCGAAAAGCAGAGTGGTATTACTCTCAGTCTGGCAATTATGCTGTTGCTGCATCTCTTAGAGATCAAATTTCAGATAGAATTTCAGAAACAATGGAAAATAATGAGAGAACAGCTAATCAAATTGTGAATACAGAAATAGAAACTACTCTTTTCAAGCAAGAACGCCAGAAAGAATCTTTCAAAGTTCATCTTGAGAATGAGAAGAATAGATTAGTCCGTGAAGCCATTTTAGAGATGTATAGGATTGAAAACAAATATTCTAAACTCCGCCAACATATACTTGGAAATAGCAAAATTGATTACCAATACAATCGTGAAAGGAAAATAGAGCAAGAAACAAATAAAGTTAGAGAAGTACTTGATGAAGAGTTCAATATGTTCAAAAACAATATCACGCTTATCGGTATTGATCCTCATCCACCAATGTCATCAAGAGCTCCTCAGTCAGCTCGTTTCAGTACAATGCATACACCAAGAACCCCACGAGTTGATTCAGAAGAATTCCGCTCTAATGGAATTCGTAATCCAAGAGTCATTAAAGCTTTAGAAAAGTCCTTAATGAAGAGAGAGTATGCCGTCATTAATTCTGCATCTCCTATCACAAATTAATCAATACGGAACTTCTTGTTTTTATATTCATCTTGTTTATTATAAAAATTACTTAAAAATAACAAAAGAGTTCATTTTTATTCTGGCTTTGATCATATTCTCCAGTAAATAGTTGTAAGAGGTATTAAAAAGAGTAATTTTGTAAATAAAATATTTTTACTATAATTACATAGATTGCATACAACTTACAATAATGATTTTATCATTTGCGGCATAAGCATTGCTTAAAAGCATTCATTGGCTTGTGCAAAAGAGAAATAAAGTCTGTGTGTTAGTATTTTTGAAAAAGAAGGTTGGGGTCAGGCGCACTTTCTCCTCTTGTACTCAGAGAGCTATGAGAAACTCATCTTCCCCAGTTAATACATACTCTAATATTTCTTGTGAAAAAATGATGAACCACTAATATCGTCAAAAATAATCGTTCATAAATATGGCTTCATTTATAACTTATCTTAGATTTTGGATATATTCACTATTATAGCTGTTAAAATTAAATCTTCGTTAAATTTTATTTAAAACCATTGTTTCAGTAATAATTTTTATCTTCCTTCTGATAGGTGAAACTAAACGAATACATAAGAGTCTCTTAAGCAAGGTGTTAACAATTTGCATTGATGAAAGCTCACTTAGAAATTTTATTGGAGACAAATTTTAAAATCAGGTGCTTTAAGGGTGCACCCGTATGTACGTTTATTTGAGAGGAGGATTACCCTCTCAATTTTGAGGGATTCGTTAGTTTATTTTCTCGATGAATATGCAATAAAATTTGATTTTTACCTTATCAATATACTTCATATAATATACACATGTTCATGTAAAAACTTTTTTCCAAAATCCTCAGGAATTAAGGGATTTTTGAATTTTAAGAATTTTTTTCGAATTTTTTCGAAAAAAAATATTTTCAGAACAGCCTTAACGGCTAAGATTTAGGAACAATGTTAAGTATCAAAAAGAAAGGAGGTCTGATATAGACAACATATATCGTTGAAGGTTGAAAAAAATCTCTAATATTTGAGCCCAAAATTTCAAATTTTAATTTTTTGAAAAAAGAGGCACCCGTATGTACGTTTATTTGAGAGGAGGAGGATTATATTTTTGAAAGGGTGAAACATTATGAATATGTTAATTATATAATAATATGTATTATTATAAAAAAGAAAAAATAAAGCACGTTAAAATTTTTCTTTCTTGATTTTTTACAAATCTACTTAGAATTATGCAAAATATGACTAAATAATTATAAATTTCAAGTTAAATTTTAATTTTGATAAATAATTTAAATTTCAAAATATCAAGTTCAGTTCGACTATGTATGTAGTAATTCCTCAATAAAGTGCCAAAACCCTATTAAAATATATGAACATTTTCAACATTTTAATGTTTTTATTTAAAAATTTGATGGAATATGAGCTTCAAACAATTATTATGTAAATAAAAATAATTAAATATATGTATTTATTCGTATTACAACCGTAGTAAGTCGATTCTTCCTTTCTTCTACTGAGTTTTGAATTTGATTTCGAATTGTAAAGAGATTCAAAGGGAAAATACTAGCGGATAAAAACTACCTCCATGAAAGGGTCATAATGGAGTCAAGTTGTATTTTTTGATATTTTTTGCTTTTCGAGCCTAAATAGGTAGCCAAGATAATGCCTAAAAATAAGGTTCTAAATTCTGAAGTTTACATGATCCTCTCGTGTGCACCCTTAAATAAAAAGTAAAGGTACTACGGAAGTTTGTACGTTATTTTGACAAATAAAAAAAATTTCCTTGACAAATGTCTAACAGGCAAAGTCGTTCAATACTTGCAATATAGATTATATCTTTTGGTATAATGAAGTATACTCTTAACTCTAATATATGTATAACTTTTAAGCAATTATAATTAGTTTTAGTTCTGCATAATCTCCATTGAAAAAAAATATTGGCTATTTTCCAAATGCTGAAAAATATGGGATTTACATGAAGAAAATAAGAGATCTGTGAATCAGAATATATAGCTTAATTTTTGATATTTTATATGAAAAAATCCCTTGATGATTCGACAATATTATTTATATGTTTATATAGTATTTGGAAAATATATAATAATATTAAACTTTCAGAAGATTCTGCCTAAGCGTTTTGGAGAAAAAGTGTTTTCAAGTTCATTATTTAAAAGGTAGACTGTTTCATAGTCATTAGACATCTACAAACTTTATCAATAGAACTTCGGCCAAAAAGCTTTGCTACAAACAATCACGAAAATTCGCTAATCATTGATATCCATTAAACTTATACGGAATTCAAAATTTAATTCAGCCAACCACAAAATTTCCAATTTACCATTACACTCGTTTTGATATCCCCATGTACAAAAGTCATAATCTTGGATGTTATGACTATTATGTAGAGGAAATTATCAAAGAAACTATATTTGAATTCGGGAATTTCAATCCATTACCTCCACAAAAAGAACAATGATGCAAGAAAATTCGTTCAACAAATACAAAAGTTCATTTTGTCAGAGCCATTTTAATAAATTTTGACTTTAAGGCTTAGAGCCAAAAGCTATACCATTACATTAGAATAAACATTATACGTTAGTTATAATTTACTGATTTTATATGGTAAAATTTGTATCATATGAAATTTAATTATATTAATCTTTATCTAGAGAGAAAATACAAAAATTTCCTATGCAATTTGACATAGACATCCTTCATGAGTGTATACCTTACTAAAGTATAGATAAATATTCATTGTGAGAGTGTGATTTGAATTCAAATTCTACTTAAAAAGCATAATTTTAAGGAAATGATTCTAAATAACTGAATACATTGCCATATATATATTAATAATATCTGCTTCATTTTGAATAAAATTCAACATAGAATTCCCAAAAAAAATTGGAAAAAAGAATATAATATCAAAAAACTAAGCATTTTAAGTGAAAATCGCAAAATTGAAAAAATTTTGGAATTATAGATGCCTATTATAATAAATGCCTTTGTGAAAATTAGCATTTTTCTCCATATATATGATCAATTTAATAGTGAATAATTATTCACAAAAAAAGTTTATTGAATATTGATATGTTTCACAAAAAGAGTACTAACAAAAGGAAAAATATAGTAGGCAATCATATAATTTATGTAAAATGAAACATTAAGGATATTTATCTTAGAATAAAAAGAATTTTACTAAGTAGTTATTTAAGGATTTGTTTTAAAAGGAATATACAAAGAGAAGTATGAAGTTTCAAGCCTTCTTCTCTTCATGATTTCGAAATTTTATTGTACGAGCATGAATAAAATCTTCTCTAGTATAACAGTAGGTAAGCATTAGCTTTTTAATTGAATATCACACAAGTTCTTTAGTATAATATTCGTCGGATCAGCAAATGTTGGTTCAAAGTCAATCAATAAGCATTTTTTGCGAGACTTTCTATCTGAAATCTTATTTTATTGAAATGACCATGATAGTTTTCGCTTAGTGTCTAGGTATTGAAAGTAAATTTATGAAAATGAATTTTTGTTTTGCTAAATCATATTAAATTTCTCTTCCTATTAGACAGCATGCAGATAACAAAAACATTTCCAATCAGTATTCAATTGGAATAATGCCAAGTTCTTGCATTTGCTGTCAAGATGTATAAAAATCCAAAAAAAATTTTTATCAAATGCATTCAAAAATGAATTAACTTTTTCTCCAAAACCCTTAGGCCAAAGTCCGCCATACTTTGCATAGAACCTTATATTTGTAACTTGATTATATTGACAAAGTTTGGGCTTCCAAGGATCAAGGGAAAAAGTTCCGAAGTACCTTTTAAAAAGTATGGAAGAAAATATACCTCACATTAAAGCGAGTTTAGATTGGAAAATATAAACAGATCATGAAAATATTACTAAATATAATATTGTTTCCGTGGTAAAATCAAAAATTGAAATAATTTCTATAATTTACACGGCAACTTAATTGTGAGTGTCCACTTATTTTATTATGCTGAGTGAAGAATATCAAGAATTGATGGAGTTAAACAAAGACTATGTCAATATAACGGATGCATTGTACAAGCTAAAGACATTCGATGAAGCAGAAATTGAACGAATTTATCAAGATATCAAAACCAAGTTGATCGAATCTAAAAAAGTTTCACCATCTTATATTATAGACATGATATCAGTCGCAATGAGCTATAACCTTCGTTACACTAAGTCATACATGGCTATATTCGAAAAATTATATGAAGATTATCAGCCAAAACAAGCTAAAATCACTTATCCAATTTTTGCTTACCTTATCTTTAAAGAGTATGATATTGTTTTGGATAAAAGACATGAACCATTATTCGATAGTTATTTATCAAAAAATATTTCAATAGAAATTCATGAAAAGAATTCTATTTATAGAGCAATTATGGATGATGACCTTATGTCATTTATTACATTCACAGAACAAGAAGGATTTGACAAAAATGCACAGCTAAACTCTCCACTTTATCCATATACAATATATCAAGGATATTATTATCTTGATTTATGTTGTTATTATGGTGCTGTTAATTGTTTCAAGCTTTTGAGATCAAAATTCGGTTCACCAATTACTACAAGTTGTCTCGAGTTTTCTTTTTTAGGCAGAAATGCAGAAATCCTGAGTGAATGCATGAAAGAATCAGAAGAATTTGATAGATGCAAGAAATATGCAATTATTTCACATAATATTGATTTTGTTTCATTTTTGATGAATGAACATAACATTAATATATATTTAGGTTATTGCGATTGCCATAATCTTCATGCATTTCTTGTTTATTTGGATCAAACAAAAGATTTCAACACTTGTTTCGTTCATTCACCTAATTTCTGTAATTTAAATCTTTGTGAATATTTAATTTCACATGGTGCAGATGTTAATGCTATTGATGATCTTGATAAATCGGCTCTTCATACTGCAGCTGAATCAAATTGCAAAGAAATTGTTGAGTTTCTTCTTTCACATGGTGCAAATGTGGATGCAATAGAAAAAACTAATGGAGAGACTCCCCTTCATAAAGTTGCTGAAATAAATAATCCAGAAATTGCAGAACTTCTTATTTCTCATGGGGCAAATGTCAATGCAACAAATTATGGTGATGAGACACCACTTCATTTAGCTTCCAATTGGAATTGCGAAGATACAGCAAAAGTTCTTATAGACCATGGGGCAGATGTAAATGCTAAAGCTGAACTTGGAAGAACTCCTCTTCATTGTGCGGCAAAGTACAATAGTTATGAAACAGCAGAACTACTAATTTCTCATGGTGCAGATATAAATGCAAAAGATTTATATGGAATAACAGTTCTTCAATATGCTTCAAGAAAAGATAGTGAAGATGTTGAAGAGCTTCTTTATTCACTTGGTGCTGATGAAGGTGAATAAAATATGATCGATGTTTAATTTAATAAACATAATCTTTGTCTAGTTTCGAATCTTTTTTTAACAAACCAGGATGCGACATTCAATAAATTCTTAAAATTCATATCTTTCAATTCTATTGTTACTGAGTTAGCTGCTTTCAACTTATTAGAAACAAAATAATTGAAATTGAAATAAAAAAAAATCGAAATATATATATATAAAAGTCCGTAATTTTAAAATATTATAAAAACTAAACAAAAATTAAGCAATTTGCGGCTGAATCTTATGATTCGAAGCGAAGCGGATATTGAAATAAATTGCTTCAAGCAAATCTTTAAAATCTTCGATAGTATTAGCTCGATACTCTTCCTTATCAGGACCAATCAGTAGTGACGGCTTTTCTAAATCATAAGTTGGTGAAAATAGTTGAGTTCCATCATAAGGAAATGACTTCAATTCTTTTGAACCCTTTCCTAAGATAACTTTTTCTGGTTGTACACTACATTGCACTGAACTTTTCATAATTCTATTTTTCTGTTTAGTTAGATCGCAAATGTAAGACTTTGGTGATTTTTCATTGGCAATGAACATCTTCCATTTAACAAAAGCGTCGTGTGTTTTCTTGAAAAAATCAAACGTATCCATAATGTCGTAAGAATAAAAGAATACTGAACTATCTGTAATTTTAATCTCTTCGTAGAATTCAAATACATTTGGATATGGAAAAGATTGAGTTGGTCTAATTTTATGGATACCAAGATGAAGAACAGCAAATGGCGCTGTCATTTCGTCAACGCATATATCGAGAAACTGCCCATTAAAATTTATCCAGTATTTTTTCCAAACTTTGGATGATGGCAGTAATATGTTATAATACATTTGAATAAAATTTAAATAAAATTTATATAAAATTTATATTGAATGATGTTTAACGGACAACCTGCATACATTGTAAATGGTTCATATTGATCTTTTATTTCATTGTCAGAATGTTAGAAATTTTACATCACTCTATGCTATAGCGACTGTTCTAATAAAAAATCTCTCATTTATTTGAACGAAAGAAACGATATTTGAATTGAAGCAGCAAAATCTTAAAATGTTCAATATTTTGAAATCATTTTTTGAATATTTTTCATTAATTGATTTCAAAATAAGTTTATTTCTGCATTAGAAAGCTATTATTGTGAATGTCAGATTCCAGAAATGTTATTTGTTTTGAAAAGAAAAAATCATTTGTGTTTATCAAAGGACAATGCAAAATATAAAAATTTTGAAGAAGTGATATTAAAAGGAGTAAATTTAAGATTGAAAAAAGAAATTTCAAAAAAATTATTTTGATGATAATGATAAAATGGTTCAAAACAATTATGATATCTAATATAAATTCACATTCTATTACTTTATAAAAATTACAAACATAATATAAAAAAAATAATACATATAAAAATTGAAATTACTCTGTTGGTTCTTCAGGTTGATACTTTGGAAGTATCTGATGAAGAGCTTCGACGTTTTCTGGACCAACAATTTTTTCAAGGTTTGCATACAAAACAGAGGACATTGTGAACTGAGCAATTGACAATTTATGGGGCACTTTTTGTTGTAGCAAGTTGAGAATGGTCATTGCGAGTGTCTTTTTATCAGTTGCAAATTTTGTTGCTTTTCTGGATACAGATCTTAGTTGCTGTAGCAAGATATTGAGTAGATCGATATCTTCGCAGTTATCAGGCATCGCATTCGCTAAAACAAAAGTGAAATTCATGGATGAATCATAATTATTAACAATATAAGGTAAAACAAGCTTGATTGAGCGTAGGATCTCTTGTGTATGGTCTGCTATAACTCCTGGATTCTGATTTGAGATTTTTGCAAGAACTGGGATGATTTTTAGTTTTGCTTGGGTATTAAACAGTTCTGTAGTGAGATGTTCTACGCAGCTTTCGACAATGATGCTCAGATTCTTCTCATCTTGTATGTATCCGCAGACTGATTCGACAATTCTTAAAATTGCGATCAAATTTGCATTGTTGTTGGCCGTTGCAATGCAGTTTATGACAATATCTAAGCAGTCTTGTATTATTGGCATGACCGATTGCCCGAAAACATCAACCATTGAGGCTAATAACAAATAACCGTCATCGTCGCAGCCATTTTCAATCAGAGCCATGGCCAGAGCGTTTATTTGGTCGCTGTATACATCGCAGCTCTGCTGGGCCGATTTTATCAATTGGCTCAAATAACCGATACATGGGGAAATTGTGGGGATATTTGAGTTCAGAATGGCGTTGGCGTATTCGAGGATGCCCTCAATGAGATTAAGAGCGGACTGTTGGTCGAGTGTCGCTGCAATTGAAGTCAATACTCGGAATGACTCCGAAACAAGCTCAACTTGCTGAGATTCTGTAATAATCTGAAGCATCTGCTGGGATACAAGCTCAACAGCACCCTCTTGGCCCGAATTTGCGATGGCCGATAATAATTGTTGGGAACAATCACTCAAAGCAGGTTTTTCGGACTGTAGAACTGTAAGAGCGAATTGGAAGAGTGCATTGCTTGGTTCTAATTGCTCGGATTCGATCAAAAATGTTGCTTCTAGCAAAGCTTGCTGTAAAACTCTTGGAGAATCATCATCTAATAGCTCAAAGAGTATTTGGTTCCTTGTTTCGATGATTTCATCTGTAATTTCTGATGCACGGCTTTCATCTAATAATTTTTCAGAAATTTTCAGAGAAAAAACGGCGCAAACGAATCTTGCTTGCGGTTCCTCTGATTTTATATTGTTAGAGATGTATTCCATGCACAACGGATAGCAATTATCGAATTGATTTTCAATAATCATTTCTGTCATTGAAATTGCGGCCAAAATCTTGTTACTTTCTGTAAATATCTCATCTGTATCAAGTGGATCTGTCGAATTATCTGAAACTAATATTGCAATGCAGAATTCAAGAATTGCTTGCCAATTTTCTTGAAGAATCGTATTTGAAATATCAGAAAGCATAAACGAAAGATTTAAATTTAAAAATGGCCACATTGTTATGCTCGAAGTCATCACAAACATGTATTTTTCGTAACATTCTGGAAAAAGATGAAAAATTTCAGGTAAAGAGAAGCAAATTGAAGTAAATAGCTTTGATGATTCAGAAGGAAAGTCCATAGCGTTGTTCCAGACTAAATTAATAATCGCAACTAAGAATTCTTGAGATGCTTCGTGTAAATCTGTATAATGGATCAATCTTTCGACAGTAAGTAGTAAATAATGAATAGAATCATCGTTAGTTTCAAGTGATGAGAAAATTTGGATCAAATTCTCGATCATTTGAATTCGTATTTCTAAAGGAAAACCTGTAACGTTTGCTTCACTCATAACCTGAAGAACTCGTGTAACAAACTTTGTAGGTGACTGTGGAGTGATTCTAGAAAGTAATTCACCGATAACTGCGTTTGCAAAATCAATCGGAACAACATTAAGGAATATGATAAAAGAATCGGCAGCAGCTGCATCCATTTCTGGTATTGTACTTGATAAATACTTAATGAGTGTTGTAAAAACAGGAGTTGCAAAAGTTTGTGGATCTAAACCTTCTGGAATTCTTCTTATTTTTCCAGAAACACGTTTAAGAGGTACTGATAACATCTTGATTGCATTAAGTCTCGATTTGACTTGAATCTCCTCTGTCTCAATGATCTCGATTAAATTGAATACATAAGTCTGCGGATCTTCTTCTTTTAGCTGCAGCAAGTACGCATTTGCTTCATTGATCTCTTCTGTATGTTGTGTCAAAGAGTTATCGCTAATTGATCTGAAACATTCATAAAAGGATTTGTGCATTTCTGCCAAAATTTTATATCGTCTTGGAAACACATTTTTGTAAAATGCATTTCTTTTTACGAAAATCATTATGAAATTTAATGTATAAGAATATTTTATCGTATTTGGCTTGAGATTCATCTTTTTTAATTAATGACTTATCGAATTAGTGAGATGCTAACATTGGAAGCTGATAAATATTGGTTTTTATGGGATAAACAGATGAATACTATGGAACAGAATCTGAGAACAGGAAAAGGTTCAATATTTTTATGAATAAACATTAAATCAATGCTTGAATTCATACTCATTAAGATTTAAATCTTGTACCATTGTTTAGTGTTAGGTAATTTCATATAGATTTTGGATAATAAACAATTTTCATCACAAAATTCCTTTATTATGGGATGATTTTGTATGAAGGTGTTTCAATGAGGAATAAATTTAATAATTAAAGTCAATTTATTATAATAACAAAAAATACAAATAAAAATTCACCAATTAAATGAATTACCGTCTTCAAAACCAAGTGTTTGGTCAGTAATTCCCCAAACATTCTCGAAGCTTGCATCCTGTGTTTGCTGAATTGTTCCTACTCTGAGATCTTGTAGAGGTAAGGAGCAGCCACAAATTGGGCAAGTCCAAACGCCAAGGGCTTGTCTTGTAGTAAGGTATGGAATTAAATCGAAGCAGTTATCGTGATGGCAGTCTACACCTTTTGCTGGAATTTCAATTTGTTGGCCTGTAATTGGGCAAATGGCAGAAACTTCGCTGAAGTAGAATCCTGGTTTAGAAGAAATCATCTGTATGATGTTTTCCATTGAACTAAACGAAGACCAGACTCCAAGAAGAGCAAATGGAACAATAATACCTCCTGTTTCTACTACAAGCCAGTTTTGCTGTCCGAAAGGAACAAGGAGGTTTGTAACATCAACAGCAGTTACGTCATTAAGTCTACGATGAAATGTTGATCCATTCAAAACAATCTTGATAGGAGAAGTAGATATACTGGCAGAAGATATTGCATATATCAAGAATCTTGGATTGAGAAGATTTTGCGGTGGAGTTGCAACAAATGAAAGTGCATTCTCAGTTGTGAGAATATCTGCGATGAATGTTGGTATAGTATTATCCATAAAGCTGTAAAATATGCTTGGGCTTAATATTGTAGGCGTTCCAAATTTCGCACTAACAGAACCTTTTCCTTTAAAGCCCATATTATAGGTTGGACGTGGCATTGATTCGAAAGAGCCACCAGCAAATCCATTTGGCATATAAAGTGGTGAAGCTGCAGACATCGCACGCTGCAACTCTTCTGTAGGATATTGTGGTTTCATATTTCTTCCTTTTAGTTTTCCCCTAGATTGAGATAGAAAGCTATCTGGAGAACCTGGAAACACGGGAGATGTGGGAAAAGACATTCGATTGAATATTGAATCAGATTTTGTCACTTTTATAATAAGATTTTAGTTATTAAGGTTATCTTATTTATATGAGAATTTCATTTTATAGGATAATAGTATCTTTTTATATTAATAAAAAGTGAGATGGAGAATTTTATTTCGAAATCATAAAATAATATTAAAATATATGAGTATGGAGTCTCATATAATTAATAATCACATTTTTAAAGAGTTCCCTTCCAATAATATTTCGATTTATTTTTAATTTGGTCACTCTATGCGTATAACATTTAAGGCCGAATAGCTCGGTTACAACTATACCGTTTGGTTCTGTAAAATTTTTCAAAATCCTTGTTTAATTTTGATTTTTTTTGGAAAAATTGTAGAGAGCACAACAGTAACAGTTAGGAGCGTCAAAATGGAATGCCAAATTGAGTGATAACTGTCTATGTTAATAAAGTTATGGTGTTATGCAGAATGTGAAAATCAATAATTTGTTAAATAATGATAAGACGTAGCAAAGTAATCGCGGAGATAGCTGTGATTATGAACTAAATTCGTTTTCGAATCTGGAAGCTTGTAAAGCGAACAACTTAGATCAAAATTTTGTTGTGAATCTAAATTTGTCAGATAATTTTACTCAATAATTTGACAAACATAATTTTTTGTCTAAATCAATGTTTTCATTAGAATATGAAGTAATTCGGAACAATGAACAAGGTAAAATAGGTTCAGTATGTTACACAGATGTATCTGTTACGAATGTGAAGCTGTGGAAGTTAATGACAACAATATTATCTCAATTAACGTGCGATGTTCCGGTTTTAAATCCAACTAGAAGCAATTGTTTATTACTCTTAGCCCTTCCACCAGGAATGACCGTCGAAAATTTAGTTAGATTCGTTCAACGTACAGAGCCCGCCAAAAAATTTTCAATTACATTCATTCGACATTTTATGAATTCTGCAATCATTGAATTTGAATCACAAGCAGATGCTGATAAATTTTATGTAAGATCTCTTGGTATTCAATTCGAATCTGTTTTATCCCATGTAAAATGTATTCTCTTATTTATTTACAGCATTCAATGTCCGAATTGTACAATACTACCAATGAAAACCATGAAAGAATCTGGTCAAGTCGAGTTCCAATTACCAATGTGCCCAATTTGTTTCTTATTATTCGATCCTCTTATATCAAGTTACTTTAGCACATGCCTAGTTGGAGACATTTCTGATGAGGCATTCCAGCAATGGGGATGCCCAGAGTGCCAGGTTTGTCAAAAAATTCATCAACCTGAAAATAGATCTAAAATGTTTTGTACGTGTGGAGAAAATAATAATTTATGGATATGTCTTTACTGCGGCCATGTGGGATGCGAGAGAGACCATAATAGACATGCAATTGAACATTTTCAAAAAACAAACCATAGATTTGCTTTCAGAATAGATAGAACCTGGTTATGGGATTACATATCAGATAGGTCTGTTGACAGGACATTTCAGTCCATAACTCAAGCTCCTGCGGAAAATATAACAGATAATTACAGAGAAATGCTTGTTGATGGAATTTGCGCAGTCCATCAAAAGTGTGATGCGGATAGAGAAAGTATTGATAATGGAATTGGAAAGAAAATTATAATGAGAAGAAATGAAGTTTCGGAATTGACAGATCAAATAAATTTATTAGAATCACAATATAAAGAAGCTCTAGAATTGCAAAATCAACTTACAGAGTTGATGCAGAGAATGAATCAAATTAAATCTTCTAAAATTATGGTTGAAGTTGGAGAACTTGAAAAACTGAACGCAGAATATAAAGATAAATTGACTAAACTTAACCAGAAACAAGAAATGTTATTCCAGAAGCTAGAACAAAGGAGTGATGTAACTAATCAAGTTGTTATTGACATGTAGAAGATATTATTTAAATCTGTTGTTGTTTTATATATCATTTTTTATTTCGTTAATAAAATTATCAATCCAAAAAATTTATTCCAAATTTATTTATTGAAATACAACATCTTTTTTCAAAGGGAATTGATGTTTAAGCTGTATAGAATACGTATTTCGAGAAATAAAACAAATTGAGAAAAAATAACTTTATAAAATTTCTAAACGTACATACTTTTTTTAGAAAAGAAAAATGAGTGATTCGAAACGAAGTCTATTTAGTTCATCATCAAGTTCTTTTCTTCTAAAGAGTCCACACAGATCTCCAATGCGTGGGCGTGAAAATGCTTCATCTTCATTCTTAAATGTTACGCCAACGAAAAAAATCAAGAAAAACGATGGAAACAAAGAACATGGTAATGCACTACAGATATTTCTTAGAGTGAGACCTCTGAAATCAACAGAAACTGATAGTTGCGTTGAAGTCGATGGCAACCAAATTACTCTTCGTCCTCCAACAGCTAGAAATCAGACAAAACTCTTTGATTTTCAAAAAGTATTCGACGAAAACTGTACCCAGGAAGAAGTCTTCAATGAAAGCTTCTTGAAATTAATTCCTGCATTAGGAGAAGGCAGAGACATGCTTTTATTCGCGTATGGTGTTACAAGCGCAGGAAAAACGTTTACAATCGAAGGAACTAATAGTAATCCAGGAATTTTGAATAGAGCATTAACAACAATTTTATCTCAAATGAATGGACCTCTTAGTATGTACACAAAGCTTACAGTTTCATGCTTTGAGATATTTAACGAAAAGATATTTGATCTTCTTGCTCAGAACTCGAATAGTAATAAATCTAAGAAACTTTCACCACGTGGTGAGTGCAAAAATCAATTAACACTTGGTAGGTACTCAGATGGACGCACTTCCGTTGAAGGCGCTAGTGAATGGGCTATATCAAACGAATCTCAAATTTCAGATCTTCTTCTCAAAGCAAATAGTGAGCGTCATAAAGCAGAGACAACTTTCAACCATAATTCTTCAAGAAGCCATGTAGTTTTCAGGATTATTTTGCATAGAGAACATCATTTACCTGTATTTGTTTCAATTGTTGATCTTGCTGGATGTGAAAGAACAAAAACTCTCGGCGATGACAGGATGAAAGAATCCGTAAATATTAATAAGTCTATGCTTGTTCTTGGAAAATGCATAAGATCACTTGCAACAAAACAGTCAGCAGTTCCTTATCGAGAATCATTGATTACCAGATTATTTAAAGATTTCTTTGAATCGCCTGGTAAATGTGCCGTTGCAGCAGTGATTGTAAATATTACTCCTGGTGTTGAACAATTTGAAGATACTGCATTTTCACTCAGCTTTGCTGTTGATGCATCAGAAGTATACACAACTACTGCAATAGATGAAAGTTTATTAGATGATGCATTTGATATCCCAACACCAAACTACGGAGCAGTTAAATCTGATGTTTTAGCTCAAGTTCAGAAATATTTAGATTCTGTCGAGCATTGCTATCAAGAACAAGTAACTCAATTGATGGAGAGAACGAGATGCGGAAATAGACTATATGCTGAAATGTCGGATACTGTGCCACGTGAACAATATGTTGCGCTCCAAAAGGAAAATAATGAACTTAGAGAACAGCTTAATGCAGCTCTTAAAAAGATTAGAGAGTTATCAAGTGGTAATGAGATTTAAATTTGTATTGTAATTCATTGATTTTTCATTGTTGTATGTTTGAGATAAACTGTTAATTGTTAATGTTTATTCTTGATTGATTTAATTGTTATATTTCTATATAAACTAATGATATCATTAGACGAAAATTGACAAATGATTTATTCACACCGGGCTGCAAAATTCTCCATTTGATCAAATACAATTGAAATGACTCTGAGAGAGTATATAGAACTTTGAAAAAAGTCCGATAGAATATTTTGCTGATAAAAAGAATAAAACAACATCAAGAAACCGGACTGCATGTTGAAATTACAACATCTTTTTTGAATATAAAAAATATAACTATTACAGTTTGGGTTGCTATAATAAATATCTAACTTTAAAATTGCGTAATGTATAAAATATGTCATAGAAATTTTTTTGTAACTCTCTTGAATATTTTTTTTCTGAACAAGGGAATCATCAATCTTTTAAACAACTTTAAATCATATCTGAATTACGAAGCTTAAAATTTTTGTATGAATCATTTGGGATCCGATTGATTGTAACCGCCGAAAGTATCTCAAATAATTTCCTTCCATTTAATGTTTGGCTTGAGACCATAAGGGAAATTTAGAGTATTATTTAAATATTTAAAAATTCATTAAAACTGAAAAAATCTTATTATATTTTTGAATGCCTAAAGTACACTGTGATGAAGAGTACTATCAAGAGCTGATGCCACAATTCGCAAGCTATTGTGATACAATTAATTCAGTATACCGGCTAAAAACAAACAAAAATGGAGAATTAATTAGAATTTATCAAATGATTGAAAATAACTTGATTCAAACAAAATTATTCTCTCCAGATGATATAATAAATGTATTAATAGTAGCATTACGGTTAAACAACGGATATACAATGTCGTATAACTCAATCTATCAACAGATCATAGAAGCACACAAAAATCAGATATATAATAATCAACAAGTTACATATTTCAATGATATCATATCTGATTTTGATTCAATGATTGGTCAGGACCTAAAAGAATTTTCAGAAGCATTAATAATAGATGACAAAAAATCATTCATATCATATACTCAAAAAGCTGGATTTGATATTAATAAACAATTCTCAAATAAGCTATTTCCATCTACAGGAAATAAGTATTCACTAATCGAGTTATGCTGTTATTATGGGGCGGTTGGTTGTTTTAAATTCTTAAGGTCAGAATTAGATGAAGCAATTTCACCTGCATGTCTTCAGCTTTCATTTTTAAGTGGGAAACCTGATATCATGAATGAATGCATAAAATATCAAACACCAGATGAGACTTGCATGGAATATGCAATTGCTTCTCATAACATTGATTTTGTTTCTTTTTTGATGAATGAATACAACTTGAGCATCAATCTTAAATTATGTGGAAAATATAATAACCTTCAAGCATTTTTAATCTATTTGGACCAAACAAATGATATCAATGAATGCTTTATTTATTCACCAATCTTTCACATCCCATCTCTTTGTGAATATTTCCTTTCAAAAAATGTAAAAATTAATGAAAAAGATTATAATGATAGAAGGACAGCACTTCATAATGCCGCATTATATAATTGCCCAAAAATAATGGAATTATTTCTTATGCATAATGCTAATGTCAATATAAAATCGCAAAATAAAAAAACTCCGCTTCACTATGCAGCTCAGAAAAATAACGTCGAATCAGTGGTTTATCTTATAAATCATGAAGCAAAAATTGATGCAAAAGCTTATTTTGGTGAAACTCCCCTTCATTTCGCTGCATTAAAGAATTGTATTGAAACTGTTATTCTTCTTTTATCACTTGGAGCCAATATCAATGCAAAAACAGTAAATAACAAATCTGCAATCTCACTTGCTGCAAAAAGAAACAATAAAGAAGTTGTTAATATTTTAATATCTCATGGTGCAGATATTGAATTAAAAGATAATAATGGGAAAACTGCATTATTTTATGCATCAGATGAAGGTAATATAGATATCATTGATATCTTAATTTCTCATGGTGCAAAAATTCAAAATCAAGATAAATTAGGTAAAACTATTCTTCATATAGCAGCACAAAATGGAAATCAAGAAATTGCAAAAGTTTTAATTTCATATGGGGTAAATATTCACATTTTGGATAATAAATGGAGAACAGCTCTTCATTATGCAGCTGAAAATAATTCATCGAAAATTGTTGAGAACCTTATATCACTTGGAATTGATATCAATATTCAAGACTGTGATGATGAGACTGCTCTTCATTATGCAATTAGAAATAATAATGATGAAATCGCATTAAACCTTCTTTCACATGGAGCTAATTTTAGCATTGAAAACAGATATGGGGAAACACCCTTTGCATTAGCTGTTTATATGAATAAAATATTAGTTGTCACTGAAATTCTATCTCAAGGTGCTGATGTCAATAAGGAGTGGTATCATTGCTCCCCGTTGCTTAATCTAGCGGCTGAATTACGCAATGTGAAAATGATGGAGTTACTTATATCATTTAATGCAGATATAAATGGAAAAGGCTGGTCCAACCGAACAGCACTTCATATTGCAGCAATACAAAGTTTTCAAAAAGGAGTTGCCTTACTTATTTCAAGTGGTGCAGAAATTAACGCAATTGATTATGAAGGAAACGCGGCTCTTCATTTTGCAGTAAGAAACAATCACAATTTTGTCATGGTAGAATTTCTTATTTTGCATGGTATTAATGTTAATATAAAAAATAAACTAGGGGAAACAGCATTGCTTTGGATCGAAAAGATTAATAGTTTTGAAATGGCAGAGCTTCTTATTTCAAATAATGCAGATATAAATTCTACAGATTATCAAGGAAGATCACTTCTTCATTATGAAGTTTCAAAACACTCTTCAATTAATCTTCAATATTTAACTTTTCTTGTTACACATGGTATAGATGTAAATCTAAAAGATGGCTTGAATTATGCTCCTCTTCATTATACTGCAGCAAATCGGGAAAACAGAGCATGTGAAATCCTTATTTCACATGGTGCAGAAATTAATGTTGTTGATGATAAAGGAAACACCCCACTTCATTATGCAGTATCAACAAATAATATGAAATTGATAGAATTTCTTATCGATCATGGTGCAAATGTTAATGCAACAAACAATAAAGGAAAGACCCCTCTTCAAAAAGCCTCAAATAGGAATAAAATAGAAATCATTCAAATCTTCATCGCTCATGGAGTTCTGGCAAATTCAGAGGATGTTGATGAGAGCAAGGAAAAAGGATGTAGGATATAGAGATTTTTTTTCCTTAATTGCTCATAAGAAATAAAAATGATATGAATTTTTAAGGGTTGAAGGATGTGTATTTTTATAACTTTAATTCTATCTATTATATAAGTTATATAAAAAAATAATTTCAGCTTGTCGTAATCATTAAACAAATCAAATATCGATAAATTATTCAGATGTAATTTGATATTACACTTCTTCGCTAAATTCATAAATTTTCTTAGAATACTTAGAATCGAATCCATTATTGGAATGAGTATAACTCTTGGATCAGAATTGAAAACTTATTAAATATCTCAACGAAGTCACAGTATTTTAATAGGAGAAAATGGATTTATTATCATTATTATCAATTTTTTTTTTGTAATATCTATTAAACATTGCAATGAAACATACAAACATTGCAAAAAAAGGCGAGAAGTATAATTTATTATCAATATAATATGAGGCATGCCAAATTCAATTGTAATAGAAAAAATTAAGTTTTTCAACAGAGAGGAAGGTGGCATTTTTCAGATATCAAATCAGACATGAAATCATATTAAATTAATAGTCTTTTCCTATTACAATGCGCTTTTCTTTAGTAAAAAATAAAATACTCAAAAGTGACACTTTTGAAAAACTTGAAAAATAATCATCGAGGGAAAATATAAGAAAATTATTTTCCGAGATTAAGGATGTCAATTTGGAAGAAAAGTGAGTAGGGTTGTACAAACTGGCACAATTTTGCGGGCCGCCTGCCAGGAGCTGGCACGCGGCCAAAATCAAAAAAGTGGCCAAAAATCGGGCCTCGTGGCGTGGAAAGGATGTCGCCCTTCGGGCTCCACCCTTTCCACGCCACTCGGCCTATGACCACAATTATATAATATGCTCATTATTATTTTTTCTTCTTTTCTCTTCTTTTTTTTCTTTTTCTCTTTTCTTTCTTCTTTTTCCCTTTTCCCTTCCTTTTTTTCTAGTTTTGGAAAGGAAAAAGTAAAAAATTTAATAATTAATTTTATTACTATGAAAATATACTTTTTAGCTTATATTGTAAGCTGTGAGAGTTTTAAGTGATGGAAGATATAAATCAAATTTGAAATTCAACAAATCTTGTTATGATTAAGTTGAATATTGTACTCTAATTAAGAGTTTTCAGTTATGAACTCAGGTATTATATAATAAAAGTATAACTCAAGATAATAAAGAGGTTTTTAAAATGTAGATCTGAAAATCAAACTACCATGTTTGATATGATTAAGTTGAATAATGTTATTTTATTAAATGGTTCAAATCTGTGAAATCGGCAATACAAATTAAAGGCGTAGTTCAAAAAATTAAAGAGATTTTAAAAATTTAATATCAGAATTAAACTAAAAAAAGGATTTAGTTATTTCAGTAATTATCAGAAAAGGTTAAAAAGATAGGGTAAGTAATGAGACTTGAGTGAGATGTGAGAAATCATATGTAAATAATTAGATATCTGATGAGTAAGGTAGTAATGAGAGTTAAGATCTGATGAGTAAGGTAGTAATGAGAGTTAAGATCTGGTTAGTAAGGTAGTAATGAGAGTTAAGATCTGGTTAGTAAGGTAGTAATGAGAGTTAAGATCTGGTTAGTAAGGTAGTAATGAGAGTTAAGATCTGGTTAGTAAGGTAGTAATGAGAGTTAAGATCTGATGAGTAAGGTAGTAATGAGAGTTAAGATCTGGTTAGTAAGGTAGTAATGAGAGTTAAGATCTGGTTAGTAAGGTAGTAATGAGAGTTAAGATCTGATGAGTAAGGTAGTAATGAGAGTTAAGATCTGGTTAGTAAGGTCGGAGAGTTAAGATCTGGTTAGTAAGGTAGTAATGAGAGAAGAGAATTTGAAATTTTACAAAATACGTTTACTCATACAAAATAATTCGCATTCTTTTATAACGAATCTCAATGCCAATTAATACATAAAACAGATTTTAGCAATCAATTGCAAGATTTAGAAAGATTTTATTTATAATCTCAGCCAAATTAACAAATATTTTATTGATTTCGTAAAAAATAGCAATAAAACATAAAAATATGACATTCTATTTTTCCAAAAAAATTTCAAAAATCATTTTTTAATATGAAATTTATATTTTTTAATTTTTTTTTAAATTTTTAATTTTTTTTTGGAATTTTCAACCATGTCAAAAGTCGGGATCTACAAATGTATTCTCTTTGACATAGGATAAAAACATCCTTTCTTATAATTTCATTGTAAAATAAAATTTTCTTAAATTTATTGAATCCAAACTCAACTTTGCAACATTTTATTATCATAAAAACTAAGAAACATCAGGTAAACTTCAATTTGGAGAGCTTAAAATCATATCTAAATTGAAAAATAAGGGGAAAAAAATTGTAAAAAAAAATCTCATTAGATGGGGCAAAAAGTGACTTTTTTAATGTGTTTTTTAAAAAAATCGTGCCAGCTGGCCAAAAAAGGTGTGCCAGCAGGCGTGCCAGTTTGTACAACCCTAAAAGTGAGAAAATTCCTAAAATGCTAAAAATGAATTTTCCAAACGTACTTTTTTATCTCATTTTTTTGATTTTGAAAAAAATTTGGAGAGAAGAACTCTTCGTTTTTGAATTTTGTCACGATGGGTTTAAAGTATATTAGACACATGTATTGATATTACTATTTTTGTATATTTTGAGAGAAAATCCCTAAAAAGTGAGAAAATCTGAGACGGTTCGAGAAAATATATAAACTATTGAAAATTTGAATTAAACTTCTAATTTGGAAAAAAGAAATTTGGAAAGAAGAAAATTCAAAAATCGAGATTTAGACTCAGTATCAAATGGAGAACAAAATGTTTCTTCATATGAAGGAAAAAATTTTCTTGAGAAGAAATAGAGTTTTTAAAATTTTATTGTATGTAATAAAATAAACAAATATTAAAATTATTTTTTGATAACAAGAAAATTCCCAACAGAAAATATTTGAGACAAAGAAAAAAAGAAAATTGAAAAATATTACTCTCCTTTACATTTCTTGAGATTTTCAATTTATTTTTATAAAATTGACAATTTTATACGTTTAGATGAAAATAAGTGATTTTGCTTGAAATAAAAATTATTGTTTGTTTACAGCTATCAAATAGATTTTTGCTATTTTGATTAAAATTTGTTAATCAAATTAATAATTTTTTTCTAAATATCTTAAATATCTGGATCACTCACTGATACGATGAATTAAACGATAAAAATAATACAAACTCAACTAAGTTTCCTGTCTTTCAACCAAAAAATATTATGCAATTTAAATTAAATTGTTTATTCAAATATAAAACAAAGATGAAATAATTACAGTTATCATAAACTTTATGAATAACTCTGTAATTGGTTCAGATTTTCGTAAAAATATTTTTATTAAAATCGATAAGAATATGTTTACCTACTATCATCACATATCTATAAACAAGAGTAGAGTGATTTTTATCATCGAAACTTTTTAAAAGCTGTAAGCTGGAAGGAAAAATCTTGTTTTTTCTGAGTTAGTTGTAGAACTATTGATGCACGAGTTATCATTGTGATGTAGAAGGATGTCAATGTACTGACTGAAGGATATGAAGTGAATTGAATTTCATTGAATTTCAATTTGATCAAACTTGTTGAAATTATATGAATGTGTCAACATCTGTATCACTCTCCTTCACTTCTTCCCTATTTTTTCGAGAACGAAGCTAGCTCAGCTTTCGCTGAGCGAATTGACACTTTTGATGCCCTAAACGTACATACTCTCAAATTTATCGAAAAAATAATACTACCTAAACTCGTATATTCTTATTTTAAATATGATATTATCCTTAGATTCCACACTAGAATATATTTAAATCAACTTTTAAAAAAGTTCGAATCCTGCGCGTCTCACTTTTTAAATTTTCCAAATGGAAAATTATATTCTCCTAAAACGAAAACAATTTTCCGAATTGACATCCTTACCGAGATTCAAATTCAAAATAAATTGAAAACAATTGTAAAATATTTGAAAGGATAAAATCGGATCTTGAAAGCGAAATAATCGATAAATATAATTTAATAATTAGACATTTTGATAAAAAATAATCGATTAAAATCTTAAATATTCTTATCGCTTATCTGATTTTATATATTTATATCTGTAAACTGGATTCACATCCATTTCGATTTAAATTTTGAAATTTACATGATTTGTAAAAATTATCGATGATCTTGAATTTGAATTATGCGAACAATTCATCTGAATTTGTTACTACTAAGCAAATTTATTGCGATTATTATAATAGAATGAGACCAAAAAACGAGAGTAAAAAATCCAATAAGATTTTTATTGAGTAAAAAAGTGAAATTAGAACAATTTAGTTATTAGGTAAATTAAATTAATCCAAAAGGTACAGCTTTTCATATTCTGTGAATCTTTTTACTATTCAAGTATTTTTATCCGAGGAAAAAACTTACTGCTGTTCATTTTGGAAGCTAAACAATCTATATAATGCAACGCATAGTAGATCTACAATGAGTATTAGAACCGAATAGATGACCAATTGCATTTATTGGATGAGAATTTGTACATTTTTACCGAAAATCAAAATATAATATGTACATCTTATAACCAATCCGTAATTGAACCTATTGATGCATTGAGGATGCAATTTCGTATCTAGTTGAAGTCATCAAATTTCAGTAACATTTAAATTGAATTTGAGAAAGTTCATAGTTTTGAACTTTCAATTTTGAGAAGGCAGCGTTTTTGAAACTTATGCAATACTCAAGATTTTATAAAAGATTTGTTTTTTGGGTAACTAAAATCATAGGAGATATTCAATTCATTGAGGGAAGCCAGTGAATAAATTGAGAGAATCATCGTTTTTGGCTGTCAAAATAATTCAATTGAATTGATTTCACCTAGCGGTTTGACCATTGAATTCCGAACAACGATATTAAAAATCAAAAGTGTCACTATCATGGTTCGCATTTCTGCCCACCGTAATGGCGAAAATAATAGCGTCGCAATAGCTTTTGAAGGTGATTTCAAGAACCTCCTTCAGGCTGCTTCGCTCAAGCTTGGCATCAATGCCGTCCGTGCTTTCCTCCCAACCGGAGCTGAACTCGAAGACGTTTCCCTCCTTTCAACTGATGATCACGTTTTCTTCTCTACTGGTGTTGACTTCATGGAGCCGGCTAAGTTTACCAAGGAACAATCCGCTATCGCTAACTCCATCCAAGTTCCAACACGCCAAAACATGGTTTTCTATGTCAATGGCAAGCGCTTCTGCATCGAGAACCCAGACCCAGAACAGACACTTCTCGAATGGCTTCGTCTCAACGGATATACATCTGTTAAGAAGCCATGCGGCGAAGGTGGCTGCGGTGGTTGCGCAGTTGCTGTTGCTGAATACGATAACAAGCGTGGCTGCCCACACCATTATGCTGTTAACTCCTGCCTTGTCCCACTTCCATTTGTTGATGGCTGCTCCATCACAACAGCTGAAGGTGTTGGTCAACTCGCTCACCTCCATCCAATCCAGAAGGATCTCGCTGAAAACCACGGCACACAGTGCGGTTTCTGCACACCAGGCATCATTACAACACTCTACGCTCTCTTCGCTGAGAATCCAGAGCGTACAGTCGAAGAAATCAACGAAGCCCTTGCTACAAACCTTTGCCGCTGCACAGGCTATCGTCCAATCTTCGATGTTGCTAAGAGATATGCCATTGACTTCGATAAGTCCACACTCGGAAACATCGTAACAACAGGCAAGGACATTGAGGAAGTTACAAACGTTATTTCCACACGCGAACGCCCACTTGTTACACCAGATTTCCCAGAGGAACTCATCAACTACAAGCCAAACCCACTCCTCGTCTCTGGCCCAGAGTCCACATGGTTCACACCAACATCTCTCGAGCAGCTCGAGAAGGCTCGTACAGTTTTCGGAAAGGGTCTCTTCTTCGTTAATGGTGCTACAGATCTTAACTTCAAGAAGCAGTACAGACCAGACCTTGTCTTCCCAGTCATGTGCGGAACACGCCGTGTCGAAGAACTCAAGGAAATCAAGATGGTCCAGGGCGGTGTCGAATTCGGCGCTGGTGTTTCCATCAACGAATTCGCTAACTTCTGGAAGAAGGATGCTCCAGAGTCACAGAAGGAACTCGGCAAGGCCTTCACAACAATCACAAAGGAGTTCGCTAACTACAACATCCGTAACATCGGTACAATCGGTGGCACACTCTGCGCTGGTGATCCACTTTCCGATCTTTGCCCACCACTCATGACCGTCGATGCTGTCTGCACAATCATCTCACCAAACAGCACACGCAAGGTCTCAGCCAAGGACTTCGTTCTCAAGAAGGATTTGGCTCCATCCGAGCTCCTCCTTTCCTGCTTCGTCCCATTCATGACAGAGGAAGACCACATCAAGACATACAAGATCTCTCGCCGTCGTGAGGATGCCCAGGCTCTCTGCAACATCGGCATCTGGACAAGAATCCACGATAAGAAGATCCAGAAGCTCAACATCACAATCGGTGCTGTCTCTCCAAAGCAGTACATCCCAGAAGAGGCTATGAAATTCGCTATCGGCAAGGAATGGAACTTCGCTACATACGAAGGCATCCGTGACAGAGTTCTCGCTCACCTCGAAGTCTCAAAGCGTATGGGCCACCCAGAACTCCGCACAGACCTCGTCCGCGGTGTTATCTACAAGTACTTCCTTTGGGTCATGGACCGCACAGTTGGCCAAGTCCCAGCTAACATGTCCTGCGCCTTCATCCCAACAGAGCGTATCCCACGTAAGTCAAAGCAGGTTTGGGATCAGAGAACAGAGAAGGTCTTAGGTGACACAAAGATCCCACACGTCTCCGCTTACGGCCACACAACAGGTGAAGCTCAGTTCGTCGGCGATATCCCAGCACCAAACAAGTGCGCTTACGCTTACCCAGTTCTCTCTACAAAGGCTCGCGCTGAGATCGACACAATCGATCCATCCGAGGCCCTCAAGCTCGACGGCGTTATCGACTTCGTCTGCGCTAAGGATATCCCAGGAGCTAAGAAGTTATGCTCCATCCCACCAGCTGATGAAGACCTCTTCGCTATCGAGAACGTCAACATGTACGGCCAAGTCATCGGTGTCGTTGTCGCTGAGACAGAGAAACTCGCTATGAAGGGTGCCCGCCTCGTCAAGGTCACATACAAGAACGAGCAGAAGCCAATCGTTACAATCTACGATGCTCTTGAAGTTGCCAAGAACGATCCATCCATCATCATGGTCGATCACCTTGGTCTCCACAAGGGCAACGTTGCCGAAGCCAAGTGCGACTTCGAAGTCAAGGGCAAGTCCCACATCAACAACCAGGAGCACTTCTACCTCGAACCAAACTCCGTCCTCGTCGTTCCAAACGGCACAGAAGGCTACAAGATCTACGTCGCCTGCCAGAACCCAGGTCTCGTCCAGAACGCTGTTGCTTCTGTCCTCAACATCCCACGTTCTATGGTCCGTGCTGAAGTCATGCGTCTCGGTGGTGGCTTCGGTGGCAAGCAGGATCGTCCACAGTTCTACGCTGCTCAGGCCGCTATGGCTTCATACAAGACAGGCCGCCCAGTCCGTCTTGTTATGTCTCGCCAGGACGATATCCAGACAGCCGGTATGCGCCACGAGTACGTCACAGACTACGACATCGGTTGCGACAAGGATCTCATGCTCACAAAGGCTGACTTCCTCTACCACTCCAACGCTGGCTGGACAATGGATCTTTCCCGCCTCGTTATGGATCGTACACTCTACTCCGCAACAGGTGGCTACGCATGCCCGAACGTCAATGCTTACGGTAACATCTACCGCACAAACAAGCTTTCCTGCACAGCCTTCCGTGGCTTCGGTGTTCCACAGTCCCTTCTCTCCATCGAAACAGCTATGACTCACCTCGCTCACGAAGTTGGCGTCCGCCCAGAAGTTCTCAAGGAGAAGAACCTTTACCACAAGGGCGACAAGACACTCACTGGCTACGAACTTCCAGATGAGTCCATCCGCCGCTGCTGGGAAGCCTGCAAGAAGTCCGCTGATTGGGATGCTCGTGTCCGCGAAGTTGAGCAATTCAACGCCACACACATCTACAAGAAGCGCGGTATCGCTATGACACCAGTCGTTTCCACAATGGGCTTCGAGTCCGAGTTCATGATGAAGGGCCACGCTCTCGTCCAGATCTACGGTGATGGCTCCGTCTCTGTTTCCCACGGTGGTATCGAAATGGGCCAAGGCATCCACACAAAGATGCAGATGATCGCCGCTGAAACACTCGGCATCCCAGCTTCCAAGGTCAAGGTCATGGCCACACAGACAGACAAGACTGTCAACATGCCACCAACAGCTGGTTCAACAGGCACAGATCTCCACGGCCGTGCTGTCGAGTACGCCTGCCGCAAGCTCAAGGACAACCTCAAGGACATCTGGGAGAAGCACCCAGACTGGACTTGGGAACAAGGATGCGGCTACGCTTACTTCAACAAGTACTGCATGCAGGAGTCCGGCTGGAACAGAATGCCAAACTCCGTCTACGACCACAACACCCACGAGGGTCGTGAATCCTACTACCTCATCTGGTCGGTCGCCTTCTCAATGGTCGAACTCGATGTCCTCACAGGCGAACACGTTCTCCTCCGCACAGATATCGTCCACGACTGCGGCTCCTCAATCAACCCAGGTATCGATATCGGTCAGCTCGAAGGTGGCTTCGTCCAGGGCCAGGGCTTGTACACTCTCGAAGAGATGATCTGGGCTGATGATGGCCACATCAGAACACGTAACGTCACAACATACAAGATCCCAACACTCGACGATATCCCAGATGAGTTCAATGTCACACTCCTCCAGGACGACTACAACGACATGGGTGTCTACGGTTCTAAGGCTTCCGGTGAAGCTGGCCTTCGTCTCGGCTGCTCTGTCCTTATGGCTCTCCGTGATGCTGTCACAGCTGCTCGCCACCAGTTCGGTGTTGACGAATGGTTCGACTTCAACTCACCAGCTACAATCGAAGTTATCCGTGAGAACATCCCAGTCAAGGAACTTGACCCATCTACAAAACAATAAGTTAGTAGATATTTTATATCAAAGTTAGATTTCCAAGTAAACATTTAAGTATTTCTTTTTAATTTCTATTGACTTTTTATTATAATATCATGATAATCAATGTGTTTGAAATAATTTGTTATGAATACCCAGTAGTTGCACTTTCTCGCTTTGACATGATGAAGAGTAACTTGAATTAAATAGCATGTTCATATCAATAATGTATTTTATAGAGATAATGAGAAATATTTCGATTCATTTCCCTGCAGTTTTTCATTTTAACAAAGAGAAAATTGAATTTAATAGATTGAGGGTGTTATATTCAAAAAGATAAGGCATGATTTCATAGACACCTTTGGTGGGTGTCAAATTGTCTGATCTTTGTTGATTTGACCAATCTGACATGTAATGTGAAAAAAACTATCACCTGGAAATTTAATGAAATCGCCTAAATTTGAAGTGAATTAATTTCAGGTGAGTGTGAGCTCCTAGAATAATAGCTTTCGATAAACATTTTCGATAAGCTTTCGTAAATACGATACGGGTGTCACTTTTCTTCAGTGAATGAAGAGTCACCCGTCAAATCCGGAACCTAATGACATTTCACGCCAAAGTTCTAAAGAAATGGATAACGAAGTTATATCCTATCCCTTTGGGGACATTGAAAATTATGAACTTTGCTATCGAATTGGCCGTGGAAAGTATAGCACAGTTTTCTCTGGATTGACGAATACAGGACAACAATGTGTATTAAAAGTACTCAAACCTGTTCGAGCTAGCAAAATCAATCGCGAAATTCGCATTCTCGAAAAACTAAAGGAATCACCGAATATTTGCAATCTCCTAGATGTTGTAAAGGATCAGGAATCTCAGATGGTTACACTAGTTCTTGATTGGACAAACGATGATTTCCGTAATATCTATCAAACACTAGAGATGAACGAAATTGCTTACTACATGTATAAAGTATTACAGGCTCTTGATTTCGCTCATTCCCGTGGTATTATGCACCGTGATATCAAACCACAAAATATAATGATCGATCATTCCACGAAAAAGGTCTCTTTGATCGACTGGGGCCTCGCTGATTTTTATGTTCCAGGTACTGCATATCAGGTCAGAGTTGCAACCAGAAATTACAAGGCTCCGGAATTATTATTCGGATACACTCAATACACCCCGACCGTTGATATTTGGGGACTCGGATGCACATTCGCAGCAATGCTTACCAAGAAATCTCCATTATTCAGAGGCAGAGATAACTCTGAACTGATTTTAAGAATTGCAGATTTTATTGGAAGCGAAGAGATCGAAAACTACCTTCAAAAGTACAAGATAACCATATCATCACACGATATTACGTCTAGAATCTCTGGACACAAGCGTCGCGCGCACGAATTTTTAAAGAAAGACGATACAAAGAATTTCATTACTCCTGAAGCGGAAGATTTGCTGATGAAGATGCTTACAGTCGACCACCAGGAAAGAATTTCTGCAAAAGATGCAATGATGCATCCATTCTTTGATTGTGTTAGAGATATGTTCAAATAATTACTATTTATTTATTTTATTATTTATTTGTTCATTTTATATAAATTATTTTTGTTAATTTTTTTTGATCAACAAAATTTATTGGCTCATTTCTATTTCTAATGTTCGTGGTTGGAAAACGGGAGACAAATTAAAATGTTGGAACACTACTACACATTCGTTTTTTCATTCTACTTCAATTTAAGGAGATTTCAAATTTCGTTACGAATTTCTACCTAATCCAAACATCCGAAAATGACATTTTTCACAAATTTGAACTCAGTACTAATTTTACAAGGATTAGTTTAAACCACAATCAATTTCTGCTTCAATTCACAATACATCATCTAACACAAATGAAGAAGTAGCACTACAAAAATTCAAATGAGACACAACTAGTTTAAATAACATAAACATTTGGAAAAATATTCTATTTTTTTTCGGATAGTATATATTCTGCTTATTTTTCATTCCATATTTATAGTTTCTACTATTTTAAGGCAGATTTAAAGTTTTTCGATTGTAAATAGATAGTTTATTATATAAATATAACACATGAAAATAAAAATCGTAATTAATTCTCAATGAAGAAATGGAATATGGATGGAATTGAAAATCCAGCAATTCCGATCAACACACTATACCAGCGAGAGTGGGCAAGTGAAATGAAGGAATTATGGATTGCTGTTGCACCGAAATAAATGAAACATCCAAGAAGTAATGAAGACGTAGTACCGTATATTGATTGACAATAAGAAAGAGCCATGAATGGATTAAGCATGCCAAGAACCGCGATAACAATTGTATTCAATATAGCAATGACGAAGTACCATAATGATGATACATTTGTATCTCTGAATATATATGAAATGCATATGAATCTAACGAATCTGACAGGAATAATAAAAGGCAAATTTTTGTATAAACCTTCATATTTTGCAATGTACATTGCGAAGGAAGCAGATTCTAAGAAAGCAACACCTAAAAGGAACACATAAATTATATTGTCCAGGAAATTGAATTTAATATTTTCATCAACTTCAGGTAGCTTGTCATCATTTGAGAGTATTGGCGCATTATTTATCATATCACATTTAACAAGAAGTGTGTCGTCCAAAAGAGCAAGAGAATCGCTAATAAATGCATAAAACGTGAGGGCCGTGAATACAATGAGTGAAAGTAGGAAGTCAAATGGATATTTAACTAATGCTTCAACAATTGCATCATTTGCCATAAATAAGATTCCATCTGATATCATATAAGTTCCAAAAAACATGTCAATGAGGTCTTTGTATTCGAATGTAAGGAAATATGATATTAAGTACGCTAGAAGAGTTGTTCCAGCTGTTACGGACGAATAAATATACTTCAATAAAGAGTTCTTCATAATTTTTTATGCAAAAAAATCTTTTCACATGACATGAGAGTGGCATCAATGCAACATCATGTCGTCAAAAATACTAAAATAAGCAATAAACCACTAACAAAGCTTATTTTATTGTTTATTCAATGTCAATTGAAATAAGTATATCTTCCTTCCTCACGCTTATTCTTTAAAATCCGAGTATTGTCATATTTTCACTCCAAGATTGAACAATTGCTTCATAATGAGTTGGCTGTATTCATTCTTGAAAATGAAGACATTAACTTCAACACACATAAATGCATCTATATGAAGAGTAAGATACCATTGTATTTTAATTCAGATTCATAAATTATATTTTATCCATTTCAATAAGAATCCATTATTTAAAAGAAAGATCATGAACATAATGAAACTAAGTGAGGTAAGACAAAAACATCCTTCACTTCCAATGTAAAGATTTATTTCCATTAAATAATACGCTGAATGCATGAGACTTGATCGATTTTCACGTTCTATTCACACAAATCTCGCAGGTGTGCTTATTGCAAAAGGATAAATCGAGGAGTTTTATTCAAAATCGTTATTTGATAAGATCTACAGAAAATTGTGAGGAAATATACCGTGGCAGTTAAAAATTTCAATCATTTTGTTCATGTTAACTATAATGGATAAAACACTATATTGTGTTTTCAATTTTGATAATTCAAACGAGTTGGATCTCGATCCTCCTTATCCTTCTAGGGCAGGCTTGGTACGAATATCATATTTTATTCAAGAGGAAAAAGTTGTTGGAAAACGTATTTGGTAGCCAGATCTGCAATAAACACTCTCAGAATTTTTTGAATATTACGGAATTTTGAATCAAGATAAATTTTGAATTCGTGCAAAAACAAACTCGTTTTACTTGGGGATGCAGGTGTAGGAAAAACATCAATGGTGAAATCTTGGTTAACTTCGACGTTTTCAGAACATGTGTCTCCAACAATTGGTGCAGCTTTTGTAAAATCAACATTTGAATATCGTGGTTTAGAGCGCAATATTCAGATATGGGATACAGCAGGTGAAGAACAATACCGATCTGTCACATCTGTTTATTGTAGAGATGCTTTTGCTGCAATGATCGTTTATGATAAATGCAATAGAGCTTCTTTCGAAAATATTCCGTATTGGATTGGATTAATAAGCAAACAAGGACCGATTCCTATTGTTGTTTGTGGAAACAAGAATGATCTTCATTCTGATACAGAAATTACATTACAAGAAGCTGCCGAATTTTGTGCAGCATATAATGTTTCACACTTCTTTACAAGTGCTCGTACACAGTTCGGAATTTTCGATGCTTTTACACAATTGCTAGATTTGGCCTTTGAACGTCAAAAAAGTTTACCGAAGGATGATCTATTTACTGGCGTTCAGGCAACACCAGAACCACAACCGAAGAAACAATGCTGTTTTTGAACTTATTTCTATATTTGTATTTTTTTATTTCTGTTTCTGATAAATATATAGATTTTTTTCAGTTGTAATTTTTCTCCAGATATCATTACTTTCTTATGAGTAACTAACAAGAAAAATTTGCTATGAAAACTCAAGAATTATGCTCAAGAGCATTGATATCACCTTGATTTCATGAATGTAGTTTAATGTTCTGTTGTAAATTTATTTTGAGAGATTATTGTAATATCAAAATAATAAAGGCTATAGATTTTTAGAGGTTATTTGTTTCGCTTTATCGAAACCTTAGATGTATTAAGGATATAAACATTTTTCCTAAAGAAGGTTAGAAAGAAATTGAAAAATGAAGAACTACTGAGAAAGTTTTTACTAAATTTCATACCTAAAACCATTTATTTTATATAAAAATTTCTTAGTGCTTACGCATAAAGACAGGATGTATAAAAAAAAGGCAGCTGGGAGAAAAAAAGAATTGATAGTATAAAAAGACAATTTTAGCAGCATTTCTTCTTACCACTGCTAGTACTTCCTCCCGGAAAGTTAACATCTGGATTTGGATCAACTGGCTTCTCAGCGGATTTAATACGTTCGGCGATTGATGCGAAAAGCTCATCAATATTCTGACCTGTTTTAGCAGATGTTTCGAAATAGAGAGCGCCCATTTTATCAGCACGCTCCTGAGCTTCTTCGAGCTTTACGGTACGGTTATCTACAAGATCAGCCTTATTACCAACTAAATAAAGGAGTGGCATCTGGTCAAAGTGTGGACCAAGCTCGTCAACCCATTGATTTGCATCTTCGAATGAATCAGTTGAATCTAAAGAAAATACTATAATTGCAGCCTGAGAACCCTGATAATACATTGGGGCGAGAGCACGGAATCTTTCCTGGCCTGCAGTATCCCAAATTCTAAGAGTTACTGTAGTATCGTCGATTTGAAGAGTTTTTGCTGAAAATGAAGCACCAACTGTAGAAACTTGCTCGGGATCGAAAAAGTTTGATGTTGCACGGGTAACAATGCATGTTTTACCAACAGATGTCGCACCAAGAAGAACAACTTTTGCTTCAATAGTTGACATGAGAAGTGAAAAACCGCCAGATTGACGGACATTAAATCACAAGTTTAGAAATTTTGCTGTAAAAAAATTGTTATTCGAAATACACCAAAATAGAACATTTTAAACATTTTTCTCAATATCAGACAAATTTCAGTCCATTGAAAAACTGAAAGTAAGGAAAATCTGAAAAGACACTGTTCGTTTGGATCTATTATAATGGTGCACTAAATACGCTGTAATTTTAAATACATAGCATTGAGTAAGATTTTGTAAAATGCGACATTCTCTTAATTTAACTGAACTTCGGAGAAAAGAGGCTTCAAGACTTTCAGAAGTTCCGAAATTTGCAAGACAAAGATCTACGCCTGAATTACAAGCTAAAAAACACGAATTAGATCATTGTAGAGAGAGTTTAGACGCAGCTAAGGTGAATTACGAGAATTGGAAAGTAGAGTTTACAAAAAAGGTTGATAACTTAAATGAGAAAAAGCAAAAATTTCAGGAACAAGAAGCAAATCTTAAAAATTTTCTTAAAGTTTACCAGCATGAACTAGAAAAAGCTGAACAAAGAAAAGTAGAAGAGGAGGCTAAGTACAAAAATATTTGCAAACAGCTCGAAGACATTAAAAATGAAATAAAATTACAAATTGAAGAAAGAAATCAATTAAGGGAAGAAGCAGATAAATTACAGAAGTACACAGACATTATGCAAGAAGCTGTTGTTGTCAGTCAGCATTTTAACACTGTAGATGACTTGATAAATCAGTTTCATCGTATTATTGATACAAGACAAGACTGTCTTCAAAAATTCCAATCATTACTATCTTATGCAAATAAGCAACAACAAGAACACGCAATTGAACAACAACTAGAAGATACTTACGTGATGGATGCAAATAACAAGTATTACAAAGCATTGGACAGATTAGATAAAGCATTACAAAGAAGACGCAATAGAAAGGAATTCATTTTTAAGAAACAACAAACAAATTTAGATACCGAGATGGAAGTTGCGAAGATTAAATCTGCTTTATCATCAATTTACTCCCTAATAATGAATGATCTCGGATTAGATGTTGCAGAACACCCTGCAACGCCCGAACAAATGATTCAGACAATCAAAAGCCAAATTCTTGATTTAAACGAAATAATAAGATCATGCAATGCTCCTTCATCAAGAAGAATGGCTCCATGATAAAAATTTTTACAATTTCTATCGAAATTTTGAAAATTTCGATAGAAATTATTGTCTATAATCAGATTTAGTTCTGATTCTAGATAATTTATACTTAAACATTTAATACAATTTCTTTTTTTAAAATGATTTTTCATATTCATTTTTTAAAGCTTCTCAATCCTAATATTCTTTGATACTAATAGGATCTAAAGTATTCTTGATATTCTCTTTGCTCTAATTAAGACTAAATTCGTAATATTTTAATGATTACTGATATTTCCCAATAATATAGGATGAATAGTATGGCATTTGACTCTGGTTGAGAAGTTCTAGCTTATGATCACATTCTGACTCACTCTATTCTTCCATATCATTATTTTGACTAATAAAATTTCAACTTGTTTTTTTATAAATAATTCAATGACAGAAGAAGAGTTGGATGACTTCAAGGAAGAACAAACCACTCAGAATCTCGTCAAAAAGAAAAGAACTCGCTCTCATGCACCAAAACAGAAGCTATTACAATTAGAAGCAAATTATTTTGATGGAGAAACAAGAGCTAGATCGAACAAATATAAATATTTTAAAGATTTGTACATATTAGAGAACTCAGACAATAGGCCTGCTATTGTTATGCCTGACGGACACATTTTTGTTGAAACTTTTTCACCATTTTACTCAAAAGTAGTAGATTTTATAATTGCGATAGCTGATCCATGTTCAAGACCTAAGTACGTTCAAGAATACCAAATAAATCCATATTCAATCTTTTCTGCCGTTTCAATTGGCTTAAAAGCTAAAGAAATCATAAGAATATTAGCAATCATCAGTAAAACACCACTTACAGATGAATTTAAAGAGCATATTGAACTGTGTTGTCTATCTGTTGGAAAATTAAAATCAGTTTTACGAAATACTAAGTATTATATCGAGTCCAACGAAATTAGAAGATTACTAGAACTTCTGGAGATACCATTTTTCGAGGAAAGACACGTCTATCCTGAACCAGACGAAAAAACTTATAAACATACGAAGTTTTTGAAGGTTGGCAAAGAAGAATTAGAGACAATTATATCAGGTATAGGTGAATCATCATATCATGGCAATGTTGCTCGCTTAACTGAAGGAATTGATGATCTTTTGGACACTCCTTTGGAAAAACAGACGATTTTACGTTTTCAGATCAAAACGGAGTCAGTCAGAGAGATCAGACAATACGCCGTTGATCACAATCTTTTCATTTCAGATGAATATGATTTTATGAACGACAAAACAATCGACAACCTCGGTATTCAACTGAAGAATACAACAAGAATCAGGCCATACCAAGAAAAGGCACTAACTAAAATGTTTTCCGGTGGAAGATCAATTTCTGGAATCATTGTTTTGCCTTGCGGTGCTGGAAAGACGTTAGTTGGCATTGCTGCCCTGGCGACAATTAATAAACCAACAGTAATTGTCTGTAATAATCGTTTAACTGTCAAACAATGGTATAATCAGATTTTACAGTACGCTACGATGGACATGAAGAAGATATTCCTATTCAGTGACACAGAGAAACAGGCGTTACCTCAGACAGGACCTTGTATTGTCATTTCTACGTATTCTATGTTATCAAATCCAAACAAAAGGTCTGATAAATCTCAGCAAATCATCGACCAAATAAAGTCTCGTGACTGGGGACTCTTAATTCTCGATGAAGTCCAAGATTCGGCTGCAAATACGTTCAGAAATGTGACAGACATTGCTAAAGCGCACACAAGACTTGGTCTAACAGCAACACTGATCAGAGAAGATGACAAAATTTCGGATCTCCGTTATTTGGTCGGACCAAAGTTATATGAAGCGAATTGGCTCGAGCTTAGCGAACAAGGATACCTTGCACGCGTTAAGTGTTTCGAAGTCACCGTACCCATGACAGCTTCTTTCTATAAGTACTACTTACTTTCCGACCATTTCAGACAGAGAATTCTTTGTTCATCGAATCCGAACAAAATTCGAACAGTTGCAGGCATCATAAAGTTTCATGAAAGGCGTGGCGACAAAGTTCTTGTCTTCTGCGATATCATACACATATTGATTCACCTTGCAGGACTTCTGCATTGTCCGGAAATCCACGGAGAAACTCCGGAAAACGTCAGAAGTTCAATATTCCATGAATTCAAAAATGGATCAAAAGTCAACACACTTATATTGAGTTCTGTTGGTGACAAAGCCATTGATTTACCAAGTGCTTCTGTTGTTGTTCAAGTGTGTTCTAATTATGGTGCGAGAATGCAGGAAAGCCAGAGATTGGGAAGAGTTTTGAGGCCAAAGAGTGGAAACAGAGAAGAATTCAACGCTTTCTTTTATTCCTGTATCAGCGACATGACTACTGATTTGAAGTACTCTGCAAGAAGACAGCAGTTCTTAGTTGACCAAGGATATGTGTATGAGCCAGTGAGTGACGCAAGAGAGAGATGGCCGTGGCCAGAAGACTTACTTTCTGACGAGAAAAGTGAAGAAGAATGGCTCAGAAAAATGCTGAAGGTCGAGAAAATTCAGTCAGAGGAAACTGAGTACGAGAGCTACAGCAGTGACGAATACGAAGAATCACAGAGTGATTACATCGATACAATCGGAAAGTCTGCTCCTCATTTCTCATTACTTAACTAATTTGTATATTTTGTATTTTTGTTGTTTTATATATTAAATTTTAGTCATAATATTTAACTTATTATCATGAGATTATTATTATTTTTTCCCACTCGACATGAGAGCATTATCAATTTCATTGTCTTCAAAGTTCTGAAAATAACAATTGTTAGGGGCATTTATCACAAAAATGTTTAATGGACGCATCAATTGGTGAGTGAATTTACAAGAATATAGGGGAAATATTTTGCAATACACTCAAACAGAAAAATTAAATTATGTTTTCAAGAGTATTACTGGACGAGCAATTTAAATAAGCTATATAGTTCAGACAGATTTCAAATAATTTCTTACATCATAAAAAATTTTTGAATAATTTTTGTTATGTTAGTGAAGCCCTATTAGTAGGAGATTGCTGTTAAATTATGAGTAGAGGCAATCCTTTTTTAAAAAATTATAAAATATTTGATGTGAAAAAATTTGAAATTTTTTAGGTAAATCGGAGTCCTTTTTTAAAAGGGTGTTTAAGCGAAAACTGTCTTGAGGTCGTTGACGAGAGAAGCAGTGAGTGGCTGAGCCTTTGTTAAGACCTTGATATCAACCTTCTGAGCGCCAAACTTGACGTGGATCAAAATCTTGAATGGAGTAGATACCAACAACCCCATGAAGATCTCTTCCTGACCGATTCTCTGAACAGTTTTTACTCCGACGACAGTGTTCATCAATCTTGAGATGTCGTCGAGTGTCATTCCCTCAGACTTTGGAAGAGTGTAGACAATCTCACTTCCGCCAGACTTCCAAGCAGCGCCGAATTCAGCTGTTGTTGCCTGTTGTGGAGCGATGAAAGACAACAAGTTTGCTGGCAAGTTGACGTTCAACTTCTTTCCGAAGTATTCGATATTTGCTGTGAACTTGAACTGTGGGAATCCCTTCATTGTCTTGGGGAATGAGTAGATTCCGAGCATTGTTACAGCGTTCTGTGGAGGGATGCAGTTGATAGTCTCTGGCTGCGAAACAATCTCCTTGTTGAGGACATCTGGACCTTCAATACTCAACTTGAAATCTCCAATTGGTGTCGATGTAGCGTTCATTACTGCGACCAAAATCTTTCCTTGGTTTGCACATGCGATGACTTTAATATAATCATCGCCATAAACAGGTTGTGGAGAGATTCCTGATGCAGAGAATTCAGCAATCTTCTGTGGAGGAGGTGTCTGTAATTCAGCAGTTGCCTTCTCGATGTTTTGGATTTGTTCTGGTGTCAATTGAACATTGACAACTGGAGCAGAAACAGGAGCAGCAGCAGCGGCAGGAGCTTGTTTGTTTATTGGCTTCTTAGCGATTGGCTTTGCACCTTTGAAGATGGAAGCTGCGAGTTTGTCTTTCTTCTCTTGCTCTGCGTTTTGGTTCTTCTTTCCTGCAACAGCCAACTTAGCGAACATTGACTGTTTCTTCTGGTGATAAGTGTCCATTGGTTCTTCGTAGTTCTGTGTGTATGTTGGTGCTTGTTGTTGTGGTTGTTCTGGTGCTTGTTCGACCAATCCTTCGTTACCCCAAACAGCGGCAACACCTGATACATTCAATGTTGTTGTGTCTTCTTCAACTTGTGTTGAAACTGGTCCTGAATTGACACCATCAGCGGAATAAACATTTCCTGGTGTGTTATGTGGATATTGAGTGTAAATAAGTGTTGGTTTGTTTGTAACAATGATATCTGTGTCTCTGTCATCAATAGGAATGTATTGACGGCCACCATTTGCAATTGCTTCGTTGACAAAGTCATTGAGGAATGATAACTGTGGATCTTCTTCTTCATTCATTGATAAAACGATGTTCAATGATTCTCTGAAATTCAACAATTGCAATGCTTCGTAACAGATGTTCTGAACAATGATGGATCTAGATTGTTTGTAGTTCTCAAATACATCTAACACTTCTTGTGGAACTTCTTCAATCTTTGGTAACAACTTGAGAATAGCGTTCAAAACCCATTCTCTTGGATTGTCATATCCATCAGCCAAATCGCATAATAGCAAAATAATGAAGGATAAATCATATTCATCGGATAATTCGGCGTAATTTCCAATGACATGGGAAATGACTGTTACAAAGACATCGGATAACCTGCGAGCAGACTGTGCGACATCCAAGTAAAGATTGACAATGGATCTCCTCATTTCTTCATCGCATTCTTCATCAATGATCTTCATGACTTGGAATGCAACTTCTGGACGGACTAAGTCACCACCAATGGCAAATAATTGCTCCATGGTCTTGGCAAACCAGATTGGTGATGGTGAGAACTTGGAGGCAATGTCTGTAATGCGATCAGAAAGATCACGTCTGATTATCTCGTTCTTTGTACGCTGGAAGAACTTCAACATGTTGATGACAATGATCTGGGCATTGTCTTCGGAGGCCATGTTGTGGAGAAGGTTTAATGTGATCAATCTGATACTTGGATCTGGATGTTCAAGGCAATCAATGATTGTAGACTGGAATTCTGATGCGAAATCAGGTATTGTAGTTAAGAGTGATAAGCCGATATATTTGTAGTTCTGTTCTCTTGCGGACATGAATAATGAAATGGCGCCTTTGAGTTGTGGGATCTCTGTAATGTCGAGAGCGATGGCTGTCTTGATAGCTTCGTAGAGGAGGGCCGCTGAGGCTGGTGTCTCGAGTGTAACTGAAGAAATTGTTTGGGCCAAGATCGGCTCGATTTGATCTTGGATTCCTGGTGTATCTAAGGCGATTCTTCTGATGAGTCTGAGGATGTTGATCAAGACGAATGGAGCGCTAACGTTCTGGAATGAGTACTCGATCTTTGTATTGTTTGTCTGAATCATTTGAGCAGCGCGTGTGATATCAGGAAGAAGCTCGCAGATCTGGCGGATGTTGAGGTGGTGTTTGAGGAGTGTTGTGAATGTTACAATGACGGAGTTGACGATTGAAAGATCTGGGTCAGAAAGAAGACGGCAGAGCTCTGGGAATAAATCAACAACTGTAGAAGCATCCTTCTCGATGAAGGAATGAACACACATGATGGCCTTTTGGCGGATGATTGGAACAGAGTGGTTGAGGCACTGTCCAACAAAACCGATGACTGGTTGGATGAGTTCTGGTGTAACAAGCTGTGCAATGGCAGTTAAGGCAAGAGCCATTGATGTTGGATGATTGGATGACAAATCACGCTGAGTAGAGTTGACAATAAGAACGATAAGATCGGACTTCGAATCGAAAAGAGCTGAGCATGCTAAGTAGCCGAGTGCTTTTGTCATCATCTGAACGTCTTGTGTCAAGTTAACTGCATGAATTTGGCCGAAGTTTGTGTTGTAGCCAAGAAGGGTAAGATGAACTAAAGAAATGACATTTTCGTAGAGATCTGAAATGTTGATCTTCTTCTTGTCTAAATTCTTCTTAACTTCTTGCATCCACTGAGAAACGATTTTTTCTTCAGCTTCACGGCTCTTGCACTCACCAATGGCAATGCATGTATCATGGAAGTGCTTTGATAACTTAATCTTTTGAACGCCTTGAGTGAACATTAAAAAAAATTAATGGTGTCAATTTTTTCAAGGGGGATACAAAAAAATTAATGAGCACGCGACTTGATATTTAATAGTATTTTCATTTGATAAAAACCTGTTCTAATTTTCCCATTTCTCCATTACAAAACCGAAAGTAAGTCTACCCTATAAGTCCTGGGTTGTCAATTTTTTGGGGGCCTATGGAGAAATTTACTTTATCAATAGCGCACCATAGATTCGAATCCAGAGCCTATAATTCTAGAAGTAGATGAAGGTACCCTAGAATAACTATGTGGTGTAGTTTTTATTGCTATTTAAGATATCACATAAAATATATTAATCAAATAATAAAAATTTCAATAAAATTAAATAATTGTTATTTTTATATAGAGTAGATATTATTTCTATATTTAGATCGAAAAAATAAATAATTCTGAAGTACTAGTAATATTCATCCATGATGATTTATTTTTCAATATTATACAATAAGAAATATATTTATAAGTTTTTTTTGAAAAATGTTTAAAATTGAGAGATCAAAATTTCGATTTGTGAAAAGAAATCATAAATCAAATATGTCCTAATTTTTGTTTTTATTAGGGTATACATGTTTTATACTCGAAGTACGGTATGTTGTTGTTTTTTTATTCAATATTTAAAAACTTGCATACAGGTCGTAAGGTGTTGGAATATCGTACACAGAGGTTACGCACATGTCTAGGGCAACTATTTGTTATGAATGAGTGTATTTTAAAAGATTTGAAATATCATAAGATTGATCCAAAATGGCATTATAATAAATGTTTTGATCCAATGTTAATTATATTTTAAATAAAGAAATGCAAAATTAATGACTTTTGAAAATTGAGAGAGAGAACAAAAAATAGAGTTTTTAAAAAACTAAATGTTGAAATAGTTTGAGATATCAATAAAATTAACAGTGAAAAATATTAATCAGAATAAATACAAAAATTGGGTATCTTATTGAAAAAATATGTGAAAAAGAGTGAAGATCAACCGAAATTTTATATTAATATAAAGGATATAAAAGAAATGTGAACGTAAATAAATATAAATTAAAAGATATAATTAAAATTTTTAATAAAGTTGAATCAAAGACAACAATTGATAGACAATTGTTGTCTTTGTGTACAACATTCACTTGAATTATAAACAATAACAAGTGTTTGTTGTTCACTGAGCAACTTTGAGAAGAATCATTTGTGATTCTTGTCAAAGTTGAATCAAAGACAACAATTGATAGACAATTGTTGTCTTTGTGTACAACATTCACTTGAATTATAAACAATAACAAGTGTTTGTTGTTCACTGAGCAACTTTGAGAAGAATCATTTGTGATTCTTGTCAAAGTTGAATCAAAGACAACAATTGATAGACAATTGTTGTCTTTGTGTACAACATTCACTTGAATTATAAACAATAACAAGTGTTTGTTGTTCACTGAGCAACTTTGAGAAGAATCATTTGTGATTCTTGTCAAAGTTGAATCAAAGACAACAATTGATAGACAATTGTTGTCTTTGTGTACAACATTCACTTGAATTATAAACAATAACAAGTGTTTGTTGTTCACTGAGCAACTTTGAGAAGAATCATTTGTGATTCTTGTCAAAGTTGAATCAAAGACAACAATTGATAGACAATTGTTGTCTTTGTGTACAACATTCACTTGAATTATAAACAATAACAAGTGTTTGTTGTTCACTGAGCAACTTTGAGAAGAATCATTTGTGATTCTTGTCAAAGTTGAATCAAAGACAACAATTGATAGACAATTGTTGTCTTTGTGTACAACATTCACTTGAATTATAAACAATAACAAGTGTTTGTTGTTCACTGAGCAACTTTGAGAAGAATCATTTGTGATTCTTGTCAAAGTTGAATCAAAGACAACAATTGATAGACAATTGTTGTCTTTGTGTACAACATTCACTTGAATTATAAACAATAACAAGTGTTTGTTGTTCACTGAGCAACTTTGAGAAGAATCATTTGTGATTCTTGTCAAAGTTGAATCAAAGACAACAATTGATAGACAATTGTTGTCTTTGTGTACAACATTCACTTGAATTATAAACAATAACAAGTGTTTGTTGTTCACTGAGCAACTTTGAGAAGAATCATTTGTGATTCTTGTCAAAGTTGAATCAAAGACAACAATTGATAGACAATTGTTGTCTTTGTGTACAACATTCACTTGAATTATAAACAATAACAAGTGTTTGTTGTTCACTGAGCAACTTTGAGAAGAATCATTTGTGATTCTTGTCAAAGTTGAATCAAAGACAACAATTGATAGACAATTGTTGTCTTTGTGTACAACATTCACTTGAATTATAAACAATAACAAGTGTTTGTTGTTCACTGAGCAACTTTGAGAAGAATCATTTGTGATTCTTGTCAAAGTTGAATCAAAGACAACAATTGATAGACAATTGTTGTCTTTGTGTACAACATTCACTTGAATTATAAACAATAACAAGTGTTTGTTGTTCACTGAGCAACTTTGAGAAGAATCATTTGTGATTCTTGTCAAAGTTGAATCAAAGACAACAATTGATAGACAATTGTTGTCTTTGTGTACAACATTCACTTGAATTATAAACAATAACAAGTGTTTGTTGTTCACTGAGCAACTTTGAGAAGAATCATTTGTGATTCTTGTCAAAGTTGAATCAAAGACAACAATTGATAGACAATTGTTGTCTTTGTGTACAACATTCACTTGAATTATAAACAATAACAAGTGTTTGTTGTTCACTGAGCAACTTTGAGAAGAATCATTTGTGATTCTTGTCAAAGTTGAATCAAAGACAACAATTGATAGACAATTGTTGTCTTTGTGTACAACATTCACTTGAATTATAAACAATAACAAGTGTTTGTTGTTCACTGAGCAACTTTGAGAAGAATCATTTGTGATTCTTGTCAAAGTTGAATCAAAGACAACAATTGATAGACAATTGTTGTCTTTGTGTACAACATTCACTTGAATTATAAACAATAACAAGTGTTTGTTGTTCACTGAGCAACTTTGAGAAGAATCATTTGTGATTCTTGTCAAAGTTGAATCAAAGACAACAATTGATAGACAATTGTTGTCTTTGTGTACAACATTCACTTGAATTATAAACAATAACAAGTGTTTGTTGTTCACTGAGCAACTTTGAGAAGAATCATTTGTGATTCTTGTCAAAGTTGAATCAAAGACAACAATTGATAGACAATTGTTGTCTTTGTGTACAACATTCACTTGAATTATAAACAATAACAAGTGTTTGTTGTTCACTGAGCAACTTTGAGAAGAATCATTTGTGATTCTTGTCAAAGTTGAATCAAAGACAACAATTGATAGACAATTGTTGTCTTTGTGTACAACATTCACTTGAATTATAAACAATAACAAGTGTTTGTTGTTCACTGAGCAACTTTGAGAAGAATCATTTGTGATTCTTGTCAAAGTTGAATCAAAGACAACAATTGATAGACAATTGTTGTCTTTGTGTACAACATTCACTTGAATTATAAACAATAACAAGTGTTTGTTGTTCACTGAGCAACTTTGAGAAGAATCATTTGTGATTCTTGTCAAAGTTGAATCAAAGACAACAATTGATAGACAATTGTTGTCTTTGTGTACAACATTCACTTGAATTATAAACAATAACAAGTGTTTGTTGTTCACTGAGCAACTTTGAGAAGAATCATTTGTGATTCTTGTCAAAGTTGAATCAAAGACAACAATTGATAGACAATTGTTGTCTTTGTGTACAACATTCACTTGAATTATAAACAATAACAAGTGTTTGTTGTTCACTGAGCAACTTTGAGAAGAATCATTTGTGATTCTTGTCAAAGTTGAATCAAAGACAACAATTGATAGACAATTGTTGTCTTTGTGTACAACATTCACTTGAATTATAAACAATAACAAGTGTTTGTTGTTCACTGAGCAACTTTGAGAAGAATCATTTGTGATTCTTGTCAAAGTTGAATCAAAGACAACAATTGATAGACAATTGTTGTCTTTGTGTACAACATTCACTTGAATTATAAACAATAACAAGTGTTTGTTGTTCACTGAGCAACTTTGAGAAGAATCATTTGTGATTCTTGTCAAAGTTGAATCAAAGACAACAATTGATAGACAATTGTTGTCTTTGTGTACAACATTCACTTGAATTATAAACAATAACAAGTGTTTGTTGTTCACTGAGCAACTTTGAGAAGAATCATTTGTGATTCTTGTCAAAGTTGAATCAAAGACAACAATTGATAGACAATTGTTGTCTTTGTGTACAACATTCACTTGAATTATAAACAATAACAAGTGTTTGTTGTTCACTGAGCAACTTTGAGAAGAATCATTTGTGATTCTTGTCAAAGTTGAATCAAAGACAACAATTGATAGACAATTGTTGTCTTTGTGTACAACATTCACTTGAATTATAAACAATAACAAGTGTTTGTTGTTCACTGAGCAACTTTGAGAAGAATCATTTGTGATTCTTGTCAAAGTTGAATCAAAGACAACAATTGATAGACAATTGTTGTCTTTGTGTACAACATTCACTTGAATTATAAACAATAACAAGTGTTTGTTGTTCACTGAGCAACTTTGAGAAGAATCATTTGTGATTCTTGTCAAAGTTGAATCAAAGACAACAATTGATAGACAATTGTTGTCTTTGTGTACAACATTCACTTGAATTATAAACAATAACAAGTGTTTGTTGTTCACTGAGCAACTTTGAGAAGAATCATTTGTGATTCTTGTCAAAGTTGAATCAAAGACAACAATTGATAGACAATTGTTGTCTTTGTGTACAACATTCACTTGAATTATAAACAATAACAAGTGTTTGTTGTTCACTGAGCAACTTTGAGAAGAATCATTTGTGATTCTTGTCAAAGTTGAATCAAAGACAACAATTGATAGACAATTGTTGTCTTTGTGTACAACATTCACTTGAATTATAAACAATAACAAGTGTTTG